TTTATTATTGTACACAAAAATCAAATACGGTCAGTACTTTAGCAACAGGAAATTTATTTCGTAAATTTTTCCCATGCCTCTTTGTATGTGGCACATTACTGAAAATTGACAGATCTAAGGTCACATATAGGGTTGCCACCCGTACTTTATAATAAAGTATTGTACGTTATTTCAGGTAATTGTACTCTATACTTTATGAGAACAATAAAGTACACGAAAATACTTTATTTCGTATGAAGAGAAAGTGCTTTTTCGTTAAACGAAATTTTTCGATTGGTGTTGAATGGATTTCGCCACTCGACAGCGCCACATCACTTAACCACTCGTTTTTAACAATTTCTGAACGCAACCTAACCTCAAATGTCAACAATGTCAGTGTCATTGTCATAATGTTTTTTTTGTGCATCGTTTTGTGCGAAGCGGTTTAGTGCATTAAGAATACGATTTAAAGTTTTACAGATTCATGTTATAGTAGTACATCATGAATACTCCACATACACCTATAAAACGTAATTTTAATAGTGAAACGGATCAAATAGATAGTGAATATGTTACACCAAAAAAATGTTTAAAAACAAAAGATACGACAAAACAGAAAAATAAACGAATGCAGAAGTATAAAAGTCAGTGGGAAATCGAACATGGTGATTGGTTAATTAATGATCCACAAAACGAATATAATGGAAAATGCAAATTGTGTGGAATTACATTTACAATTGCTTCAGCAGGTATAGGACAAGTAAGAAAAAAAACTTATTTTTCAGTGTGTGTGTGTGTGTGTGTGTGTTGGTATGGTTGCATTAAATATGCAAACTATAGGTACTATGCTATAAAATGATTAGATTTTATTTAAGATAAATGTGCACTTTTTCCCAATAACTTTGAAAGTATAATTATTTTATGGTGACTGGAGGTGATGGGTAAGGTGACGGGATTAATCTTATTATTTTCAGGTTAAACAACACCTGCAAACAAAACAACTCAAATCAAAATATGAAACTAGGAGAACATCTGGACTACTTGAGAAATTCCTTGACTCTTCTTCTGCTTCCACATCGTCTAGATGCAGTGATAAAGAAAATGTTGTTGCATCTGAGTTAGCCCTGACATATCACACAGTAAAACATAATTTGTCTTACAATAGCATGGATTGTACTATAAAATTGAATAAAATTATTTATGCCAATTCACCTACAGCTAATGCAATTCATCTAGCTAGAACAAAAATGGAAGCACTAGTTACAGAAGTGTTGGGCCTATATTCTTTACAAAATGTAATAGATGCTGTTAATACAGATAATTTGTTTTACTGTTTACAAACAGATGCTTCTAACAAGAAAAATATAAAACTCTTTCCATTAGTGATACAATATTTTACAGCCAAAAATGGCATTGAAAACAAATTAATAGATTTTTATGAAAATAGTAATGAATCTGCTGATGGTATGTTTGAAGCAATTCAAAAGTCATTAGAGCAATACAAATTATCTTTTCATAATGTATCTGGGTAAAGTGCAGATAATACAAATGCAAATTTTGGTGTTAATCATTCTTTATTCACCAATATGAATAATTTGGTACCAGGTTTGATTAAAGGAAATTGTCACGCACATATAGTGCATAATTGCGTCAGACATGCCATGAGCTTTTTATCACATGACATAGAAAATGTTATTTTAAAAATTTATGCTCATTTTTCACATTCTGCTGTAAGAAGAGAGGAGCTAAAAAAAATTTGTAGCATCAGTAGATAGAGACTTTCACGAAATCAAACGCCATGTGGGAACAAGATGGCTCTCTCTTTTGCCATGTATTGATACTTTATTATTAAATTGGTCACCTATAAGAAGCTACTTTTTAAGTTTAGACTACTGTCCAATGGTTTTACAAAATTTATTGATGCTCAATGAAACTGAGAATGATGTGATTGAAATTTATTTGCATTTTTGTAGTCACTTATTAAATTTATTTAATATTTTATAAAATAAATAATGTTAAATGTCTAGAAGGCAACAGCATAACAATTTTAGACATTTATGGGATTATGGATAATCTTAGAAACGGATTAACACAAAGAAAACAAGATCTTTTCTTTGGCTATGAAACAGGCAAAAAAATTAAACTGACTTCACCGGAACTGACTAGAAAAATTCACACGAATTTTTTATTATTTGTTGACAAAGCCTTAGAGTATCTGAATAAATGGTTTGATTTCAATAACACAAACTGGTTATTTACACTTGGATATACAAATTTAAAGAGCAAAATTGAATTTAATAATATTGTTAACATAATTGAAAATTTAAATCTTCAAAAACTTAATGTAGATATGGACGATCTATATGGAGAAATTGCTTTACTAAACCAAGTTTATAATCAGATAAGTACTTCTAAGAGTTTTGCAGAACTATCTACTGCACAAAAATGGCAGCAAGTATTTAAGAGTGATGATAATTTTTTAAACTTGTATAAAGTAATTTCATTTTTATTGTCTATTCCCGCCACGTCAGCATTCACAGAAAGAGTTTTTTCTGTGATGAACAGCAAATGGCGAGACGAAAGAAATAAAGCGTCTCTAAATTTGATAAAAAATGAATTACTTATTTACTTTAATTTAAATTTAGATTGTAAAAATGCTGTGCAATTTTTTAGTGAAGATAGTAATTTGATACAAACTGCAAAAAAGCAATAAAAAATATGTTTTTAAATATAATAATAAAGAAAAATAAATTGTAATTTATTTTGAATCTATGTACTTTTTTTTTCTTACCTTTAATAACCAATGCACTTTAATTGCAAAAAAAAAAGGTGGCAACCCTAGTCACATAAGCCTTGATAGACCTCAAACATGGAGTAAAAACTTACCTACTACTTAAAAAAACATAATCTAAATTGGTTACATTGACTAAAATGAATGACGATTGTTTTCTAATTCAACTTGATTTTAATCGACTAAATTTTACGGATTTTATTGCGTTTAATTTTGACTTTGGAGGGCGTGCGTCCCCCCAGAAAGCCCAATCGAGCTAGGTGTATTTTCAATATATCAGAATTTAGAGCAAAAAAGAATGGAGCACCTCTACAGTCAAGTAAATAAATTGGAGCATTAATACGAACGACGCTGCGAGCTAAAAATCGTGGGCTTGCTGGCGTCCTGTCCCGTCAGCACGCCCAAGCTTAGATCTCGGGAACCGTTGAGAGTACTATCGTGTATTGTGGTTCAAATTTTCGAGCAAAATTGGAGCACTCTGCTCCCGTGAAATCAACTTCGAAACTAGAATGTGAAAGGAGTTAGACGTGATTAACCGGTGGGCTTGCTGGCTTCCTGTCCCGTCAGCAAGCCCACGCAGATCTCTGAAACGGTAATGACTTGGATTATGATTAAAAACTCTACAGATGAGCCCTATTTAGAGCACTCTGCTCCAAAAAAATATTAATGTAGCTTCAATAGTTCTCGAGTTACAGGCCTTTGAAAACGTGCTTGCTGGCGTCGCGTCCCGTCAGCAAGCCCATTTGGAGCGTGGAAACTACTGAACGGAGAGTCGTCAAAACACATTAGTCCCCCCACCCCATGACCATAGGTACTGTAAAGCCCTCGAAACTTCGGGAATTAAAAAGTCAAAATTAAACGCGATAAAATCCGTAAAATGTATTTCATTTTATTGATTTTTATCATTGTGATGTAGACATTCCTCGCTCTAAGTTAAATTCTTTCAATTATCAATCATCACATAATGAAACTTTAATGACAAATGTTAGATACACGTCTCCGGGGAAGGACCACGATCTCACAGAATACCAGCGTGAACTAGCAGCATAATGCTGCTGTATTTCGTAAGGTTAATGTAGTGAACTGGAAGCTCTTTTTATTGGAAACGGGGCATTCCATCTTAGTCATCGAGGGCGCAGAATAAATAATAATAGTACTGCGTCAGGGGTGACAACGCAGCTGCATTTTGATTGTTAATCGAGAATAGATGTTTACGTTTATATCAGTCGATTGTCACCCTTAATCTATAAAAAATTAAGATAGAATAGAATAATTTTAATCAAAATAAATTACAAGAATTCTTATTGAAAGTCATATTATGCTTTTACTACTGGTTCGAAAAAAAAACATCTGTCCTGGGAAGAAGCAGCAGGAAACTTTTTCTTTTTAAATTAATTTACATACATCAAATATGGCCACATTTAGAAACAGTATGGTAGAGATCCCCTCATTGCCATAGGTTATTTTCAAATATGTACTATTTAGTAGTATAATAACCCTTAATAAACAGTTTTGCTTAATATTTTTTAACTTTTTGATAGATACGTATTTTCTGCGTATTTTCTGAAATTTTCTAAAAACGCATACATTGCCCCATAAAGGTATTATTGAATCTTTGAGTCGTGTAGCTGTAACTAACTTGTGACTTGTTCCTAGTATTTATAGAATTTACATCACTAATATTGTTTTTGTGTACGTACATAAAATTTTCGTAAATATACTGAGTACATACATTAAAATTTCATAAATATACTGAGAGACCAAAGTTTATAAATTTATTTCTTCAAATTTTGCTGTAATGGACTTACGGACCTAAGTTATAAACTTATAAATAGCTCACTTTTGCAAAGCAAAGATAGTTACAATGTTAGTGGCATTATCCCATATCAAATTTCCATGTTATGATATTTTGCCATGGAAATAACTAAAATATACTATTTTAACTGTTGCACACATGTAAGGCCTCCAATCTTTTTGACAGCATACGCTTCAGAACTAAGTTTGCTTGCTAGTTCTGTTTAGTTTTAGATTTCTAGGGGTCCCATTGAAGCTTCACGTCAAATGCTTATTACTATCCTCTAACGATATTTTTATTATATTGACCATGTTATTTTATGATTGATTAGGCCACATGAGCGGTCGGTGACCTGTGGTACGGAGCAGCTGATAGCAAGTTCTGAAGATGAAGCCGCGGGGGACGAGCGTCATGCACGCTTTCACTGCTCTTACTATGCTCACAATGGCAAATGGTAATTACGAAAATAAGGAATTAATTTTACTAACATTAAGAAGAGACGTAGAAGACCTATAAAATATTTACGGAAATGCTAATTAATAAGAGATTTCAATTAAAAAAATTTGTATTTTTTTACGTGGTGGAGCCATGTTGTAATTATATTAATAGTATAGTTGTAGCACGAATAGGTCGGCTTGACCGGGGAAGGACCACGCTCACGCGTTTGTTTGACACCATGTTTCGTTTGGTGAGTGTAGATAATTGGAGACCCTTTTTACTGGAAACGAGGCATTCCATCTTAGGCATTACGGATGACAAGGCTTGTGTATATTGATTTGTTATCGAGGATAGAGATGTCTATGGTACACAGCAACCACCATCTGGTCGACTTTGTGCTCGTTTGCCACCCTTATATTTTAAAATAATTTTTATTAAATTTGTGTTGTGTTTTGTTTGTTTTGTTTTTTAAAGTAACGGTAGCTCTTTGACATTCTCTTATGGCTGATTTCTATATCGACCCGTTTCACAGAGTAAAACATCTAGGTATAAAAAAATGGTTTCGACTGTTTTAATTTGCTCCGTCGCTTCGCGTCGTAAGTCTGAAGTTTCCAAACCATCTAATCAAAATGGTTATCGTACACAATTTTCAAGATCTATTTGTGTTTTTCTTGTGTTGACAGAACTCCTTATGGAGTTCAAAACATTTCATTTATATAAAAATCGTGCAATCAACGGTTTTTCTTAATATGGTAGGATTTTCTCTCGCACTTGCCGTGTGGATTACATATCACAACTTTGGAATATACATATTTAGAATAAAGTATAATATGTTATATATATAGACAATAACATGTATATTTTGGTACTGTAATATCTTTTACGCTTGTAAAATAAAAACAAAAGCAAAGCACCTCAGAGTTAGAACTCCCATTTTGTTTTCAAACGTTATTTAATACCTAGGTGTGATGTTTGTTTGAAATATTATTAATAGACGATAAATGTCAATACAACATACCTTGAAGTAAATAAAAAGCAAATATTGTTGAAATACAAAGTAAACGTCGAACACAACTTGATTAAGTTATCAAAATGAATAATATATTCAGCCTTTATGATTATATAGATATAACTTTGATAGTGTATTAAAGCGTACATGAGCTGAACATTTTTGCAACTTATTGGTAAAATGACTAACATTTGTCAGACAATCATTGCAAAAATGTTCTTATAGTAGGCAGAAATCCCAGTCCGTTTCGAAATATAGTATGTATGTATTTTAACCCTAGGCGTAGGCCTCAATCCGCCACAGCTAGTACGCAAGTAAGGAATAAGTTATAAAGGCAGAATGACATAATAAATGTGGCAGGAAAAAGTGGTGATGAAGCGAGAAGGCCAAGATCTTGATATTAAGAGATGAAATATGGGTACATTATGTGCACAATGATAGATCGAAACCTGGTATTGTTGCTAAGGGTTGCAAATACACCCTGGTAACACACACAATAACTATCGCGAAACGAATCGAATCTATGTAAGAAAAACACAACTTCTATTTGTATATAATTTTTCTTTTTGAAAACGAATACTGATTTTTAATATGAAGTAATCGAAAACATCAAATTCGTGATAACCTGTTTGTTTTATAGACAAATATAAAAAAACAGGCTTAACAGACCCTAAGATCAATAATCTTTATCGGTCTTAGAACAGGTGCAAGAGTTTGCAATGTATTATTATAGATTTTCAAGGAGGAACGACTATCATCATCAGTTCACTTATGAAGTAATTGTTACTAAAGTTTTAATTTAGAAGATTTCATCAGCATATTTATTATCAGCACTTTTAGTGAATTACTATTTAACAAAAACTACATCCAAATAGTTCCATTAGCCTCGTAAGGCCCAATGTGATTTAATAGATTTAAATATGAAAGTCATTACCGCCCATGAACACGAAAAAAATTTATGTTATGAGTTATGTCTTATGACCCAGCGTGATTTGTCTAACCCTTATTCAATATTACTGTTTAGATTTAAAATTTCGTACCATTTCACTTTGTTATTCTTCTTAGGATTGAAAAACGTATCCCAACTTTTGACAGTAGAGCATGTTGACATTAACGAGTAACTGTGAGCCGTCTTTTTTAATCAAAAATGTCATGCAAATGAAATTCGCGATATCGTGCCGCCGTGGTGAGTATTATCTTATTTTATTTTTAAATATACTTACAATAGTACGGTATTATTTTAGGTAACATTAATACCAAAAAATAAACTTTTATGACAGATACTTATTTCTCTTCAAAGTCTTTAATACTCATATGTCTATTGTAAGTTAATTTGTGATTTTAAAAACACAGCGGGTCGTACTTATAATTGTACTTACTTACTTACTTACTTATCTTCACGCACAATCCCTAACGGGGTAGCCAGAGAGAACAGATCGCCAAGTGTCACGATCCTTACATACCTCTTTCGCTTCTTTCAGGTTCATTAACTTCTTCATACATGCACGTCTAGGTATCCGAGTACTCTTGACCCTCCCCTCTTCGAGCAATTTGCTCACATGGTCTTCGAAAGTTAGTCTCGGTCTACCTCGACACCTTTTAATATTTACTTTCGCTCTATATATTTTCTTCACCATTCGGTCTTGACTCATTCGTTCAACGTGCCCAAACCATTGGAGTACTTATAATTGTTATCTTAAATTTTACGTAACTCTACAGTGAAATAAGTCGGCTGACATTAAGATATTTTTTTTGTTTTACCCTCACAAGAAATAGATATTGATATGTTTAATAATTTGAACAACGACTGATTTTGAAGATTTTCTTCCAAGTGATGCAGATTGTGACGATCCATCATTTTTACCCTCAAAAGAAAAGCTGTTAATTTTATCAGATAGTGGTATTGACTAAAGCTAAAGAGCCTATTGTATAAATTATATGGAACTCCCCAGCAGCGTGGAAGAGCAAACGTGGAAAATTGAGCACCAGTATCTCTATCATAAGAATGGAAGAAGGTTCTGCGTCTACCAAAAGGGTTGAGAAAAAATATTATTTCTAAGGAACTACGTTTATTATACCTTCTTATCTGGAGTGCTTATCAGAAAATTATGATAACCCACTGTCTTATTTTCAATAATAATATGTGTATGATTTACTAGTAAATCAAATTGTTGAAAAACCTAATAATTCGTCTGTTCTGAATGGCGAACGTAGTTTAAATATCAGAAAAGGAAAACTTATATTTATATTGGTGTTGGCTTCATAATGGTAAGCTTATTTCTCAATAAACACCGCATGAGGATCTACTGGGAAAAAAATGGCGAAACGCTATCTGTTCTATGGTTGCAGATCTTATGGCATGAAATCGTTTTACTCAAATAAATAATTTGTGAGATTTCAGTTCAATTTGAAAGTTAGTTACCTTGTTTTCGTTTTTTACACAATTCAATGTTAATGGTAATGTGATTTTGTTGAGTCTTTTCTTTGTAATTGATAATAAAAGTATGTTATCTAATATCTTTCATTTGACTTATTTACATGTTTATTGGCCAAATGTAATATTTGAAGCACAGTTTCAATATATCTACTAGTGCTGCCAGATGTCCTATAAAAAGAAAACAATAAAATTACATTTTGGTAATTCAAAAGTCGTCTATATCTGTACCACATCATTGTAAAAAAAGTTAATATGTCTGTAGAAAACGTGCAACCTGTTTTTTTCCACCTACACCGCTCATATTGTCTCTTTTTTTAAGGCGGTACACCAGGCGGTAGTTATTAACACAAATTTTTTGCCTTAGACCTTACGAGTATATACTAGATGATCTTTTTTATCGTCTGGTCTGATTTCTTTACAGCTAATGCGACTGGCGTTATAGTATCAAATTACAAGTTGTGCGAACTACGTTTTCTAGAAACTTGTTTGCAAGTTGAGGTCGTAATAACCTGTCTTACTGTTGTCGGAGATAATATAGTTTGCACAAAATATAATTAACTTTATTGTTTCTTGTTTCAAACACATTAACTATACTTATTATTGATTACATGCATCTGTTGCTAAAGGAAATGCTCTAATCATTTGAGAATTACACTAATGGATAGATAATTTAAAAATCTATATTCCACACGTTTTATTTAATAGTTTTCTTAAGTTGATATCTTTTAATTGAAATAATTCCAAATATTCGGGCGTATTTTTACGTGATATATTGTAGCGAGAGCGCGTGGATTGTGTGGGACCGAAGGCTCAAGGTCTCTCGCTAGGGGAACCGTCTTAACGCCGCTGCGTTTCGAATGGTGAGTGTAGAGAACCGGAGATCCTTTTTACTGGAAACGAGGCAATCCATCTTAGTCATCACGGGTGATAACAATACCACATAACCACAGCTACCACTTACCATCAGGTGGACTGTGTGCTCGTTTGTCACTCTTATCCTATATTTTAAAAAAAAGATTCAAATCTCTGAAAAAAAAAAGATTCAAATCTCTGAAAAACCTAAACCTAAGCTTATATCGTTTCTTAGTTTAAAATAAAAATAACGTGAGATATTAATTATTTTTATAAGATATATTAGGTTATCAAATATTTTATATTTAAAAAAGAAAAATATGTTTTTGCTGTCTAATTAAATATTTTTGTAGAATTCTCAGTAGGACTGGGATAAATCTAAGGTTTCGGTAATGTTCGAAAATTCGTCCACTCAGCGTGGTGCGTGTGATTCTTTCAAAAAATATTTTCTTACTAACACTGGTCTTAATAATCTCTTTCTTTTTATTAAGATATTATTCTATTCTATATATATATAGAATAGAATAATATCTTATTATTCACTCACCGTAAATGTCTCATTGCGCGAGTTGCCCGGGTTCGATCCCCGTTGGTACCACATGCCCGGCAGTAAAAGGAAATTGCGAATTAAGTAGATTTCAGACTACGCTGTAATATAAAGCATATATAGTATATAGCTCATAGCACAACAACATCGCGCACCATACAAAGTCAATAATATATAGAATAGTACATCATACAGTGTGAACGTGTTACGTGTCCATAACAATGTATGATGCGCGATATTGTTGTGCTATGAGCTATATACTATATGTTTTATATTATAGCGAAGTCTGAAATCTACTTTACTCACAATTTGTCTAATAAATAAATAAATAAGTTATTTCAAAGACATTTTTGAAGTCCACCGACAAGCATTGTGACAGCGCGGCGGACACTTTCTTGCCTTATGGCAAATGTATGCCTTAGAACCCTTATCAAAAATGAGATGTGGCCTAATGATTTCTTATACTATATGTTTTAATCATGAGATGTGGCCTGTACCTAGTGTGTAATACGTGCGTGAATAGGTTAATAACATATTCTTAAATAATAATATCAATTATTATTCCAGCCCAAACGACTTGTAACCAGGGAATGGGTAGAGTTATGTACGAACGCTTACCAAATCAACAATTGCACGGATTTGACGACGACGTGGTGCGTATGTTGCAACTATTATTATTATTGATATTTGTGTTAAGCTATCTGTAACACCAGGAAAATAACAGCACGATAAGTTAATGTTTACACAAATAAAGTAAATACTACATGTATTTCCGAAAGATAAACGATTTATTGAACTCTAAGGAAATATTATATTAAAATTAAGAGGTTATCAGACAACAAGAAGAATTTTATGACATTTTAAGTTTGACGTCATAATTACATCACCATCATCATTACAGTCTTTCACAAATCCACTACAGGACATAGACCTCTCCCAAGAAATGAGGTGCGGGGCCATCAACATCCAACGACTGCATGTGGCTGCCTGTCTTACCAGATCTTCTCTAATACGAAAACAAAATACTCTCTGTCCCTATTATTTGCTTAGGATTAAATAGTCATTACGTTTAATTTATTGCAGGTACGTGAAACTGCACCGCCATTCCGTGTGTTGGAGAAATGCCAGGATCTATGCCTCCGCGACCGTTCTGGGAATAGCCTCGTCCGCACTTGCAACTCCATTGACTTCCAACCGGGGGCCCGAATAGCGGCATTTAGCCCAGAACCGGAGTATGAAGAGTCAACTTGCTACCTAACGAGGGAGCAAGCCGCCCCCGAGGGTATCGGGACGCTCATGATCGTCCCTAACAGTGTACATTTCAACGAAATATGTCTTACATGTAAGTTTGCTGACGTTCTTATGATATTGTGTTTATCACTAATATAATGTCCTCTGTGTATTGTATTGACTGCCTCGTTAGTCTAGTGGTTGTAGTAATGGGACTGATGATTATGAGGTCCTGGGTTCGAATCTCGATTCAAGCCAACAAAATCACTTATTGAGTTTTTCCGTCAAAAAATTCTCAGTAGCTGCCCGGAGTCAGGAAGTTGGCGGTGACTCAACCCCGCGCCTCGGAAGGCACATTAAGCCGTTGGTCCTGCGCCTGATCTCTCTCCGGTCGTGTCGGTTTAACGTTCAATCGGATTATGAGAGTGAGGGAATAGAGAGTGCATCTGTGCTTGCGCATACACTTGGGCACTATAATCCTGTCCTGCGCCGATGGCTAACCTCAGTTGATGCAGGCCGCCGCGGTCGAAAATCGGTCTGGAGGACATTATTATTATTATTGTGTTTATCAAATAAATTTCCTGTATTATCGAACAATGTTTGTTGTTGATATATACGATGTAACTTATTCCAGCGAACCGTCCGGAACGCGAGTGTCCTTCTCGTCGCTACGTCTTCGAGCGTCACGCTAGAAAACGCTTGAAGCTACCACCCTCGGACCTCAAAGAGATCATGGTTGCTAACCGCACGGAATGTGAAGATAAATGCTTGGGGGAGTTCAGTTTTGTTTGTCGTTCAGCGACATATGACTCTGCTTTAAGGACGTGCTCCCTAAGTAGATTTACTAGAAGAACTCACCCCGAATTACTAGAAGACGACCATAACGCCGATTATCTAGAAAATACGTGCCTTAATGGTAAGTTTCACTTGGGAAATATACGTAGGAGTAGGGATTTTATAGTTTTTCTCAATGATATTATAAGAAACACCTTTTTACTTATAATATCATTGGTTTTTCTAACTTTATTTCACCACAAAACGATGTATCAATACAACCCAATCCAATCTAATCAGGACTTATTCTGTGGACGCTTGGGGTATTCAAAAGCCAGAAATCGGTGCTAAGGTCTAATGTATAAGATAATTAAAGCCCCGACTTCAGAAGCTATTAAATATTTTTTTCTTTTTATTTCTTTGAAGTCGGTATTTTTTTTTATAGAATAAATGTGACAAACGAGCACACAGTCCACCTGATGGTAAGTGGATGGTACGGCCCATAGACATCCACAAACGTAAATAGGGTCTCCAGTTCGAAACGAAACACACAGCAGCATTGACCTGCTATTTTACGTTGGTGTTCTGTAAGATGCGTGGTCCATCCCCGGTCGCCCACCTAATCGTGCTGCAACTATAAAACGATAATATAGCAGCAGTATTTCTCTCTTACTTTTTTTAAATTTCTGACCCTTTTGAGTGTACTAAGGAATATACCTGTGGAATATAATATTTTCAAGATAACAACTATAATGATGTCTAGTATTCAACCGTTATTATTTTTCCACCTTTTAATGTGTTTGAAATATTGCTAACTATATGGGACCACTCCCAAAGTATAACCAGTTTATAAACGAAGATATCGCGTATTTGCGTAACACACCATACCGTCACATTGTAAACGCTCTCGAGAAACCGCTGCATTTAATTATCGACTTATTGAGATTTATTCTTATTCCTTCCCGGACAGTTGCGCACATAAGTACATTCGTAGCACGCGGCACGGTTCTTCGAACACCATCAACTTACTCCAGAATTCGTGGTTTAATTCTATAATATACAACACCCTTAGTAGTAGTTAGACTGTGACCATATGTCCAAAACCTCTAGTCTAATTGAGAACCTCTTCCTTTTTTGAAGTCAACTTGTAAGACTAGAAACGTAATTTATATATTACGTTTTCTTATGCGTTTCATATTAATACGATTCGCTTTAGTAACTGGAACAGGTTCCTAAATAAGATACTTGATTACTATGTGTACATAATTATAACAGCAAAGAAAACGGCGGTGGCGGCGGTTAAGGATAATTAACCTCCATAAACAAGTATTGGGTCTAGGTAGGCCATAACATAATATATTACCTAATTAAATCATCTCTATTAAATATTATTTTGGGGAATAAATAGTAAAATGAGTAGGTAGGTACCTGATAGGCAATGAAAAGACTTAGGCTCAATTCACACCGAGCAAAGACACGACGCGAGGCGGCGCGCTCTTTTTAAGGTCTTCTTTTTAATAGGATAAGGGTGACAAACGAGCACACAGTTCACCTGATGGTTAGTGGTTGCTGTGGCCCACAGACATTTACATCCATCTTCGATTACGAATCAAAATGCAGATGCGTTGTCACCCGTGAGGACTAAGATGGAATGCCTCCTTTCCATTAAAAAGGGTCTCCGGTTCTCTACACTCACCTTACGAAACACAGTTTACGCTAGTATTCTGTGAAAGCGTGGTCCTTCCCCGGTCGAGTCAACCCATTCGTGCTACAACCATAATAGCTGCAGCGTAGCTCTTCCACGTATAAAACAGTCTTTTTAAGATAGTGATACAAAATATAACTTTATTTACTACACAAAAAGAGACATTTTATTGAGATAATTAGAAAATGTCCCGCGCTTCGTCGGTAGAGCGAACAAAAGCGGTGCGCTGCCAGCCTCTTCACGATGTATCTCGCGACGTCGCGGTGCGTCTCGCGGCGGCCCGCTGACCACTGACATAGAATAAATAATAGTACTACGTACCACTAACCTCTTTAAGCATCGTCACGTCGCGTCGAGTTTCTGTGTAAACTAACCCTTAGACAAATCTACCTGTTATTATTACTTTAAATTCAAAACTTCAGTAATATAGTTGACGTTTAGATAACTGTATAAGATTTATTTCTGCCGCCAAATAGCCTGTGCCTGCACTATTGTGTTCGGGTCTAAAAGATATACAGAGCCAGTATATGCATAGGCTGGGGGCATTCCATCTTAGTTCTTAGAGGTGAAAACGCATCTCTAGTCTGCCTTGTTTGAAGTTGTCGGGTGCAGGTTCGATAGTCACATAAAGCTTATAAAACAAAAAAGATTTAAGCATAAAACCTATTCTAAAATGCTATTTGACTTCCACACTGTACCAAATTAATAACAACGTCATGATGGTTAATAATATTCCCTTGGCTTGACACTATATTGGTTCAAAAAGGTTTCTTCATCAAACTAACAAACTAGTAGGCTGATAGATATGGACCTCTCTCTCTTCAGAAAAAAAAATTCCGTAGGATTCGCCACGATTTACCAAATGTCTCAAATCTTCAATGCTGTTGTAATCATTCTGAATAGTAAATATAAAACATCTGCCATAACCATAACAATCTATAAAAGTAATATAGTAGGATAAAGGTAAATCCATATAGAGGGGATTTCGCCATAATTGCCTCGTCTGACAGACGGATTGGCAGCCGTAGTTTTTTTTATTAATTTGAGTTTTTTTTATACTCGTAGTATAGGGTGACAAACTAGATCACAATCCATCTGATGGTAAGTGGTTGCTGTGGCCCATAGACTTCTACATCTATCCTCGGTTACGAATCAAAATGCAGATGCGTTGTCACCCGTGAGGACTAAGATGGAATGCCCCGTTTTAAAAAGGGTCTCCGGTTCTACTAATATAACTGCAGCACGGCTCTGCCACGAATAAAAGTGAAAGTGATCAGGTAGATACTGCTACTCGTCTCTTGTTGCAGTTTCCTTCGTTGCCAATTACGACACCTACGGGATGATTTGTACACCGCCACTATATGGCGCCACATCTGCTATATATTTACAGCAATGAGGCTTCGTTTCGGACTTGTTTTCAACCATTAAACAAATATTGCGTTTGTAATGAAAAAAGTGAATTCACCAAATTGTGACAAATGTGGAGTTGTGGAAGATGTTATTCATATTATGATGGAATGTGAACGGAACGAAGCATATAGAAAGCAATTAGGTTTTGACAAAAATGGTGTTGGATTATATAATAGTATCCTAGCTTTTCCATTGTCGGATAAGGCTAGGAAACTTTATAAACTTGTATTGTTAGGTATTAACAACAGATAATCTTGTTTGTTTACGTGAATTTATCACTGTCTGATTATGTGTGTGATTGTGTACCTATGAGGGTGACTTGATCTAGTAGATCAAACTCTCTATAATAAATAAAGATTTTTGAAAAATCTGCCACATATGCGATCGTAAAATTGATATCCGTCAGAGTCCATTGAATCTTAATGAAATTTCTCATAATCGAATGAATGTAAACACAAAATTAAAAAATGTGATTTATATTTCCAGCGGAAAGACGTTGTGATGGTCTAGCAGTATTCATAAAAGAAGAGAATAAACGTCTCGGAGGACCATTCGAAGCTGATGTCTTTTCAAATATGACGTTAGAAGAGTGCCAGTCGATGTGCGTGCGTGCTGAGAAGTAAGTTATTGTTTGTATTTTAACCCCCCCCCCCTTTTCATCGCACTTTGAGCTTCCAAAAGTGGCCAGCTCCGTAGTACTACGTTTCGTAAGTCCTCTCTGGCAACACACACTGTTTGTATTTTTTAATTTTATCTAACTTATTTTAAATACCCTACGTCCCGAATGCTTTGCATGACCTCATACCCCACTTGTATATCAATAAGCCATTATCTCTTTGGTTCACCCATCATATTAAGCAATTCTTAATTCTTACTTTTTAACAAAATATTTCTCAGATATTTCTGCCGATCGATTGAACACGATGCAATGACTCGCCAATGCGTACTCTCTGAAGAGGACTCCGTTTCTCAAAAGGATGATGTCACAGTTAGTGCATCACCAACGCATCATTTTTATGATCTCGTTTGCTTAGACAATCGTAAGTGTTGTTTTTTTAAATATTTTAATTAATCGTACTTAGTATTTTCATGGTACAGAACCGTCAGAAAACACGTTAGAAATACTTTATATACGATAGCGATGATTTTGTATATTTAATGTTAACGAAAAATTATATAAAACTATTAATTTGTAACTTTGTGTACAAAAAAAAGTAGCTAAGAAACACTCATAACATAACAGAAAAAAGTAAAAAAACTGTATTTGACCAGAGTTCAAAGAAACCACAATAAGGTTTTCAATTACGATTAGTCTCTCATCGGGTGACAGCTCGCGGCACGGAGTATCCGGACAACAGCGTCACATCACATCTGTTTTCGCCCGGAAGAAGACCCGACACCGCGTTCCAGAGGTACAGGAACAGCAGGATCACCGGGGAGTTTCACTCGGAAATCACGGGACGCTCACTCAGCGAATGCTTAGACGAATGCCTGAGGCAAACAAGCTTCCAATGCAGGTAACTAATAGTAATAATAATAATAATAATGTCCTCCAGACCGAATTTCGGCCACGGCGGCCTGCCTCAACGTAGGCTAGCCATCGGCGCAGGACAGGATTATAGTGCCCAAGTGTATGCGCAAGCACAGGTGCACTCTCTATTCTCTCACTCTCGTAATCCGATGGGACAGTAAACCGACACGACCGGGAGAGAGATCAGGCGCAGGACCAACGGCTTTACGTGCTTTCCGAGGCACGGGGATGAGACACCGCGAACTTCCTGACTCCGGGCAGCTACTGAGAATTTCTTGACAGAAAAACTCAATAATTAATTTTTTCGCCCGACCCGGGATTAGAACCCAGGACCTCATGATCAGCAGTCGCACTACTACAATCACTAGACCATCGAGGCAGTCGTTGCAATGCAGGTAACTATGCATATATAAACAATTCACTAAATCTTTGTGTTCCTTTAAAAAATATTCACATCTTAAATAATAATGTGTGAATATTTTTTTAAATAAGCTACAGTATTAAATGTAAATTTTGAAAAGAAATTATTTTACCAAGCAGTTAAGAATGGTATCAGCGTAAAGAAACCCACCACTTTATCTTTACTCGCAATGTCATAAAGGTCGAACATGGAAAATGTTAACAATATTTGTTTGATTTGAGTAGCAGATTGTTGGCTAAGATTGATAACGATAATCTTGCTCCCGTCTTTTACAATGGAACGTTGTTGCCATTTTGTAAGTCTGTCAAAAATCTTGCTTACATATAGACCATACCTTAAGCTGGGGAGTTCAAGTTGCCGAAACAAGCCGTAAAGTAACTGCCACCTTACGTTCTCTTTGTCGTCTCAAAAACTTTCTGCCTTTTAAAACTAAACTTTTGCTAATTCAGACTTTGATATTACCTATTATTGATTATGCGGATGTGTGTTACCCAGATCTATCTCAATATCTTCTCGATAAGTTGGAGCGCCTTCTCAACAATCGCATTAGATTCATTTTCGGCTTACGTAAGTATGACCATATTTCCCAGTACCGATCTAAGCTTAAGTGGCTTTTAACAGTGGTAGAACCACGCGGCAGCTTTGCTGTTGCACGTATGGGCCGGCTCAAACCGGGGTGGTACCACGACCTCACAGAATACCGGCGTGAATTGGAAGCTCTGCTTCCGCGTTTCGTCTGGTGAGTTCAGGTGGCCGGAGGCCCTAATCGCCCCCCCCGGCATCAACTTGGTAGCGGAATTAAATAATGATCGACTACCCCAGGAGGGTACCAGCACCCCTGGAGAATCCCTCGCTGAGCATCCACGACCATGTTTCTCCACTTCTGAGCGTGGGTGCTCAGGCTGCCCCGCGTATTCTGGGGGGGGGGGGGGGGCAAAATTCCGCTCAAGACTACAACTGCTCGGGGCAAACGGAGCAACAAGACCAAGGCGACCCCTGCCACGCTGTCCGTGAATTTCTGCAATATCAGGGGACTTCACTCTAACCTAAACGCCGTCCACTACCATCTCGAGACGGCGAGGCCGGCTCTGCTCTTTCTGACCGAGACGCAGGTGTCCTCTCCGGCTGATGTCTCGTATCTCTCCTACCCGGGGTACAAACTGGAACACTCCTTTGTGCCTCGGGCTGGAGTTTGCGTTTAAGTCAGAGAGGACATCTGCTCTCGACGCCTCGGCAGACTTGAAGGTTCGGACCTGTCCATCCTTTGGCTACGCGTAGACAGCGACGACCATCCGCGCGTCTACGGGTGCCTCTATAGGTCCCATAGCGGTAATGCCGAAACAGACCGACTATTCGACCACGTCCAAATGGCTGCAGATTCGTTGCTACAGCAGATCCCCTCCGCAGAGATCGTGATCCTCGGCGACTTTAACGCCCATCACGCCGAATGGCTTGGTTCACGTTTAACCGATCATGCGGGGAGATCTGTTCATGATTTTGCCTTGGCATATGGTCTGACACAACTGGTTAATTCGCCTACGCGGATTCCAGATGTGGAGGATCATGCACCTTCCCTGTTGGACCTTCTGCTGACCTCTCACCCGGACGGATATCAGATTTCCGTCGACGCCCCTTTAGGCTCCTCGTACCATTGTCTGGTCCGGAGTGTAGTGCCACTCACGCTGAAATCGCGGTTGCATTCTGCAGGCTGCCGCCGTGTTTGGCACTATAGGTCAGCCGATTGGGATGGGATGCGGTCTTTCTTTGCATCCTACCCTTGGGGGCGGGTTTGCTTCTCGCCGGATGATCCCAACGTTGTTGCAGATTCTGTTGCTGATGTGGTACTTCAGGGTATGGAACTTTTTATTCCTTCCTCTGTGGTGCCCATTGGAGGCAAGTCTCAGCCATGGTTTGGTCGCTCCTGTAAAATAGCATCATGCTATAAGCAGGAGTGCTACCAAGCCTGGGCTGATGCATCAGCGTCCCGGGATGTAAACACCAGCGCTATAAAAAAGAAGTATAATTCCGCCTCTAGGTCCTTCAAAAGAGTCATTGCCAAGGCAAAGTCAGAGCACGTAGGCAGAATTGGCGAGAAACTAGTTCGCCTTCCTTCTGGAACCCGTGCATTCTGGTCTCTCGCCAAGGCTGTCCAGGGGAATTTCTGTCAGCCATCTCTTCCATCTCTGCACAGGGAGGACGACTCACTGGCCCATACCGCAAAGGAGAAAGCCGATCTTCTAGGCTCTTTCTTTGCGTCTAACTCGACTCTCGATGACGGGGGGAGTACTCCGCCGACCATCCCGCGGTGTGAGTGCTCCATGCCGGAAGTGCACTTCACACAGCGCTCTGTTCGCAAAGCACTCCTCTCCCTGGACATCCACAAGTCAAGTGGGCCTGACGGAATCCCCCCAATTGTGCTGAGGACGTGTGCTCCAGAGTTGGCACCGGTTTTAACGCGTCTTTTCCAGTACTCCTACTCCCTAGGCGTAGTCCCAAAATCATGGAAGACGGCTTACGTCCACCCGATTCCTAAAAAAGGCGACCGCTCTGACCCGTCCAACTACCGGCCAATCGCCATCACCTCCTTGTTCTCCAAAACAATGGAGTCCATTGTAAACTGCCAGCTCATGAGGTACCTTGAAGATCACCAGCTGATTAGTGACCGCCAATACGGTTTTCGCCGTGGTCGGTCAGCTGGCGATCTTCTGGTCTACCTAACTCACAGATGGGCGGAGGCAGTAGAGTTCAAGGGGGAGGCATTGGCCGTTAGTTTGGACATTGCGAAGGCCTTCGATCGGGTTTGGCACAAAGCGCTTCTTTCGAAGCTCCCTTCCTATGGGCTTCCCGAGAAATTGTGCGATTGGATCACCAGCTTTCTTGCAGATCGGAGCATCAAGGTCGTTGTAGACGGTGCAAGCTCCGATTGCAAGCCTATTGATGCTGGTGTTCCACAGGGCTGCGTGCTATCGCCAACGCTGTTTCTTCTGCATATCAATGACATGTTGCATACCCGTAACATTCATTGCTATGCAGATGACAGCACTGGTGATGCTCTTTACACCGGCCGAGCCAATATTTCTCGGGAAAACGTCTCCGAGTGCCGGGACAAACTTGTGTCTGAAGTCGAGTCTCTGCTGGACAGAGTCTCGGATTGGGGGCGACTAAATCTAGTCCAGTTTAACCCCCAGAAGACACAAGTTTGCGCGTTAACCGCTAAAAAGAACCCCTTTGTCGTATCCCCTCAGTTTCAAGGCACTCCCCTTGTTGCCTCAGCCAGTATCGGAATCCTCGACGTCGACATATCGAGTGACGTGCAGTTTCGTGGTCACTTGGAAGGGAAGGCCAAATTGGCCTCTAAAAAGCTTGGCGTGCTCAGCAGAGCGGGACAGTATTTCATGCCGGCACACCGCCTGCAACTTTACAAGGCACAGGTTCTGCCGCACATGGAATACTGTTCCCATCTCTGTGCTGGGGCTCCCCAGTACCAGCTTCTTCCACTTGACCGCATCCAGCGCAGAGCGGCTCGAATCGTCGACGACCGAGTGCTTTCCGATCGGCTCGATTCACTGGCGCTGCGAACAGATGTTGCATCTCTTTGCGTATTTTATCGCATCTATCACGGGGAGTGCTCTGAGGAATTGTTCGGATTAATCCCAGCCGCCAAATTTCGTGAACGCACTACACGTCAAACGTCCCGATACCATTCACACCATCTGGATGCTTGGCGGTCCACCACTGTACGTTTCACAAGGAGTTTTCTTCCACGTACAACCTCTCTGTGGAATAGTTTACCACCGGCGATTTTTCCGGACCGATACGACCTGGGGACCTTCAAGAAAAGAGCTTACTCCTTTCTAAAGGGCCGGCAACGCACCCGCAATTCTCCTGGTGTTGCGGTTGATCATGGGCGGCGGTAGTCACTTAACATCAGGTGAGCCGCATGCTCGTTTGCCCCTTCTTCTATATAAAAAAAAAATAAAAAAAAGTCAAAGGCGTAGCTCCCGAACTTTGCAAGTACTACATTCAATTTTAAATGACCCCAATTCTCACTCTTATCTTAAAGATAACTTTCAATATTTGTATTCTACTAACGATAGAGTTCCCCGTTCCCAAAATTGTCTTAAAATTCGTATTCCACCACATAGGAGTGGTTTCTTTAATTCCTCTTTTACTATACAGTCTATACTGCTCTGGAATGCCTTGCCTGTTTATATCAAGAAAACTAATAACAAGAATTATTTTAAAAGACTAGTTCGAGAGTTCTGTCGTAAGAATAAACCATCTGACTATCCGACTATTGTTCTATATTGACTATTGAGAGAAAAAATCTCTCTTTCACTTTGTAAGTAATATTTTGTATAATGTATTTTAATATGTATTATGTTATTTTATATATTTATTATTTATCCCATATTATATATTAAGTAAGTATGTATATTTTACTAACTATATATCTATTCTATTCGTTTGCAGTTTATTTTGTTTTACATTCTTATTATTTATTTATGAAGTGATTGGTTACACCTGCCACAGTTTCTCAAATCATCCAGGGTTGACTGGCAGAGAATACCATAAGGCTTTAAGCCCGCCCTTTATACCCCTTAGTATATATATTCGAAAATCTGCCGTACAAGTAGGGTTGCCAGGTCTCAAAACCGAAAAGGCGGACAAACCAGCCAGCTCAGCCGGACATTTTGGTAAATAGGTCGGACACCCTTAATTTTTCGGTGTTAGTATATCACAATAATTATTTTTAAAGTAAAAAAAATGCTTTTATCATTTACTATAAAATCTTCTTAAATTGAAATATCAATAAAATTTAATGAATCAGTCTTTTTTATTATTAATCATTACAATATTAATTTCAATAATTGCAATAGTATGTATGTAAGTACATGAAAAATGTAAAAAAATGGTAAAATATAAAAAGCCTAACAAAAGCCAGACAGGCCGGACACCGTCTAATTTGACCGGACTCGCAACCAAAAAGCCTAACTGTGTACGGCTTTATCCGGACGCCTGGCAACGCTACGTACAAGAGAGTGAGAGTATAGCGATTACGCATTATCAACTCAAACCCTATTAACTTGAAAGGGTCTGATGATTAGCCGTGGATCATTTACACGTATATGCCGTGTTGTATAACTTTTAGATAAGAATTTATTTTTATAAAAACATCACGACTCCTAAACCTGGCACAGTGGCACTACACCATTCTCCAAGAGTTCGTCCAACCGTACCAACTTTTATGAAACATAAATTTTACACATTAATATTTAGACAGTATGTTAATATATATTTTATGTAAATTCATTGTTATGCAGTAATAAATTATATAAACCCTGCCTTCGTATTGTATTGCGTATAGAGTATCCGATACATAAGTATTGCGTTGACAGAGTGGTTCCGTTTTAGTGCAGCCTTGTTGCTTCTGCTCAGCGGCGGTAAATTTAGCGCTAAAATACTAAAGCCAAAAAAAGCGTTAGAAGTAGTATCTGCTACAAGTGGTAAGTTACCGCTCCCACATCACAATGTGTCTCGTATCACAGTTAAGTAACTCGAATCTCGATATTATTATAGCGTCTTACTCACACGTAGACGTCATATAATATCACACCGTATAGTGTATCACGGATTTTATTTACAGATTTTTATTTACAGCTTCACAAACAAAGAGGATGTAATCACGTTTAGTCGCAACGACATCGCGTCGTTATCTCAACGCTTCTTGTGATTGTAACCTCTCTTTAGAAGCATGAAAAAATAAACGTCAATAATGCGCAATCACCCAAATAATATGTTGTTTTGATTTATTTTATTTGAATAATAATCTTATCTTACGATATATAGAAAATTTGACCTACAAAGCAAGTTACAATAATATATGGCAAGGCAGACGCAAACAATGCAGTACACGTACATAAACGTGTCCCTTACGTTATTTTGTAGATACCTGATGTGGCGCCAGCATAATAAGGTGGCATACACACTACTTTACCTTTATACTGAAAAATGAAGTAAACAATATTAACATCATACCATAGTCTGTTGCTTGTCAATTTTATTATTATCAAGTATTAAAAAAGTTAATTTATAAAAATTTACAAAAAGAGATTTGCATTTTTTTATAGGAAAGGGGGCAAACGAGTATACGGTTCACCTGACGGTAAGTGATTACCGTCGCCCATGAGCAACTGCAACAACAGGAGAATTGCAGATGCGTTGCCGGCCTTTTAAAAAGGAGTAGGCTCTAGGCTAGTCGTATCGGTCCAGAAAAATCTCTGGTGGTAGTCGATTCCACAAGGAAGTTGTGCGAGGAAAAAAAGTTCTTTTAAATCGCACGGTGGTGGACCGCTAGTCATCCAGATGGTATGGATAGTATCGTGAGTTTTGTCGTGATGTGCGATGGTGAAATCATGCGACTGGAATTAGTCCGAACAATTACTCAGAGCACTCCCGTTGGTAGCGATAAAATACGCAAAGAGATGCAACATGTCTTCGCAGTGCCAGTGAATTAAGCCGATGGGAAAGAGCATGAAATCAGTAATAATATATTGCTGTTTTCATGTAAATTTAGAAATTTCAAAGTAATTTAATCAGATAAGTCAGATCATAACAACTGAATCATAACAAATGAAAATCATATTGTTCAGGTGGTAGATTGATTGGAACGTTAAAAGGAGTTAAGAAATATTAAGTTATTTGCATTTTGATAATGGAAATACAATTTGTGTTGCGCAGATATTACTTCCAACTAAATATAGTACATATATACCGCTCACCATACCATCTTTTTATCAACAATATAAGGAATCCGTTAACAAACCCTGAAGTCTCTCCTGTGTAAGGCGTTGTTAATATTAAAAACTACAATGTTTTTGAATCAAACAACACATTATGTCTCTCTTAATAATAAAAAAACAATATTTTCTAAATAACATTTATAAATGTATCATTAAAATGGGCTTTATGTCTGTTATATGTGTGGCAAAAAGGTTCTCGAGTGGCATCCTCGTACCGGTAGGCGAAGTGTAGAGCGACCACTCACTAGACAAAGTGACGACGACCCGGTAAGACGTGCAGGAAGTCGATAGATGCAGGTGGCTCAGGACCGTGCTTTGTGCAGCATTCTTTGGGGCAGGCCTATGTTCAGCAATGGACTTGTGAAGAGCTATAATGATGATGATGATGATGATGATATGTCTGTTATGACGCCAAATGATTTATGTAAATCATTTTTGCATTAAACAATCAAAATCAACGTTTGTAGGTGCCCTTAAATACAAAGTTCATTGAACTATACAAACACATTATGAGTAACATGTGTCATGTTGAAGTTCTATTTTAAGTTTTATCGTCGTTTTTGTTTAGGTCAGCCGTGTACAGCGACCGCGCAAGGACATGCCGTTTGAGCCGGTACAATCAGAAGGATGGGATGCGACTGCTTTACGATCCAGACTTTGATTACTATGAAAATCTTATGCGTAAGTGTTTTATTATAAGTACATTGGCAGCCGAGGTTTGATCGGCGTTAAAAATATAATTTTCTTAGGGTTGACACCTATCTAGAAAAACGTGTGAATTAAAACATTCATTCACAAGTCCACAGCACTCAGCAAATGTAATTATTTGCTAAATACAAAAATATTCTAAAAACATAATATAATGCAAGAATTGCTCGTATTGCGGTGATTTCTGTATCTCGACAATAGTGCCATCCACCGGGTCCAATTGAGAATCTAAACCATCCAGGAAACTCAAAAACGCGAGCGAATTATCGCGGGTGTACTAAAGCGCCACGCAAGAAAAGGCGCGGAAGTGTAAACCCAAGCGGATTAGCGGCTAACGCTAGCAAGTCATGTCCCCGGCAACCTGCCCTTTTATTCGCGTCGATTTTGGTATCCCACCCAGCGCCCTCTCAGGCTATTGCAAAACTGTTAAAGGGACTTCCAGGCAAGGCGTAAGCCCTCCGGTGCATTCAGTACTCATACCGAACTCATGGGGAACGCGGCCGGCCACCTCACGGCCTGCGCCCTCTCTCAAGGCTCAGAAGCCAAAACCCCACTCAGGTACCTTCATACTTCGCTGCTGACTTGTTAGTCTGCAACTTTATCAGCAACATACATAAATATGGCTGAAGTCACATCCCTGGCCCGGAAACTTTGCGAGGTCGAGTCCGCTCAAGATAAGCTCAATGCCACCATTGAACATATCAATCCCATCGACGCGATTAGCTCCTTCCAATGCGTCTAAGCCGACACTTTTCAATCCAGAATGGCAGTAGAAAATACAGGTAGAACCAAGCCTAGCTCTCTGACTGTCGCATTCCTTAAGGGGAATATTAAAAATACTACCACAAATGGCTTAGCAAGATCCACCGTTATGCCGAAAATATTGCAGCACTAATTTTGAAATAAATATATAGTGAAGTTGAGGATTAATGTTAAGTACTTATGTTAGACGAAAACACGATTCTGTAAAATTTTCTCGATAGAAAAAATCCAAAATTATCTCCAAACTTAACAATAAACCTCTGTTATTCATAAAATACTTTAAATTAGATCATGAAACTTTGCATATAGTACTAACTGAACTAACTATAGAGCAGGGCTTAAGTATGTTTTTTTATTTTTTTTTAATTACCATTATTTTCACTGTAAAAAGAATTTACCTAAAATTATGGGTTGGCGTAAAGAAACAGGCATAAATATGATGAACCTAACGAAACAAGTATCTAACGACCTATCTCTACGTACAGTATTAGTGATCACAAACATGTCGGTACATAGCTTACGACGCGCGGGGAAGTGAGGGCGAAATTAGAATTTGAGCTGAGTTACTATATCCCCTTAATTAAGGATTTCCGCATTCTTCAAGAAGGGCATCAATAAACTGCCACTGCGTTGGCAACGATCCCTGAGATTTGAATAATAGAAATAAAGAATATAGAAAAAAAATTACGTTAACTTATTTCATAAAAAACGGCAATTTCATGGGTAAAGACCTAATAATAAGCTCAAGGCTTTATTTGCAGGTTGTAAAGACTTAAATAACTATTTTTGAACTTTTTGTCTGCCAATCTGTGTCTGTTCAGGCTGATTTTCGGAATGTCTGAACCAATGATGATGAAACTCTACGAACAGATAGGGAGCAATTCCACGAAGGATCGAGGCTGTATTTTATGCGGAAAACTGTTTTTTTTTAAATTGATAAACCAGGGCGGGTCGTTAGTTTACAAATCACAATACTAAATAACACTAACGAATGTGCCAATTTCAAATTTTCTCCACATTTTTTACAGCTAAAAATGAAATATTGTGTTTCACTGAAATATGTATATAAAAACGTGCCTCTATAGGTCCCATAGCGGTAATGCCGAAACAGACCGACTCTTCGACCACGTCCAAATGGCTACAGATTCGTTGCTACAGCAGATCCCCTCCGCAGAGATCGTGATCCTCGGCGACTTTAACGCCCATCACGCCGAATGGCTTGGTTCACGTTTAACCGATCATGCGGGGAGATCTGTTCATGATTTTGCCTCGGCATATGGTCTAACTCAAATGGTTACTTCACCTACGCGAATTCCAGATGTGGAGGATACTGCACCTTCCCTGTTGGACCTTCTGCTGACCTCTCACCCGGACGGATATCAGATTTCCGTCGAAGTCCCTTTAGGCTCCTCGGACTATTGTCTTTTCCGGAGTGTGGTGCCACTCACGCTGAAATCGCAGTTGCATTCTGCAGGCTGCCGCCGTGTTTGGCACTATAGGTCAACCGATTGGGATGGGATCATGGGATGCGGTCTTTCTTTGCATCCTACCCTTGGGGACGGGTTTGCTTCTCGCCGGACGATCCCAACGTTGTTGCAGATTCTGTCGCTGATGTGGTACTTCAGGGTATGGAACTTTTTATTCCTTCCTCTGTGGTGCCCATTGGAGGCAAATCTCAGCCATGGTTTGGTCGCTCCTGTAAAATAGCATTATGCTATAAGCAGGAGTGCTACCGAGCCTGGGCTGACGCATCAGCGTCCCGGGATGTAAACACCAGCGCTATAAAAAAGAAGTATAATTCCGCCTCTAGGTCCTTCAAAAGAGTCATTGCCAAGGCAAAGTCAGAGCACATAGGCAGAATTGGCGAGAAACTAGTTCGCCTTCCTTCTGGAACCCGTGCATTCTGGTCTCTCGCCAAGGCTGTCCAGGGGAATTTCTGTCAGCCATCTCTTCCATCTCTGCACAGGGAGGACGACTCACTGGCCCATACCGCAAAGGAGAAAGCCGATCTTCTAGGCTCTTTCTTTGCGTCTAACTCGACTCTCGATGACGGGGGGAGTACTCCGCCGACCATCCCGAGGTGTGAGTGCTCCATGCCGGAAGTGCACTTCACACAGCGCTCGGTTCGCAAAGCACTCCTCTCCCTGGACATCCACAAGTCGAGTGGGCCTGACGGAATCCCCCCAATTGTGCTAAGGACGTGTGCTCCAGAGTTGGCACCGGTTTTAGCGCGTCTTTTCCGGTACTCCTACTTCCTAGGCGTAGTCACAAAATCATGGAAGACGGCTTTCGTCCACCCGATCCCTAAAAAAGGCGACCGCTCAGACCCGTCCAACTACCGGTCTATCGCCATCACCTCCTTGTTCTCCAAAACAATGGAGTCCATTATAAACTGCCAGCTCATGAGGTACCTTGAGGATCACCAGCTGATTAGTGACCGCCAATACGGTTTTTACCGTGGTCGGTCAGCTGGTGATCTTCTGGTCTACCTAACTCACAGATGAGCGGAGGCAGTAGAGTCCAAGGGGGAGGCATTGGCCGTTTGTTTGGACGTTGCGAAGGCCTTCGATCGGGTTTGGCACAAAGGCTTCTTTCGAAGCTCCCCTTGCTATGTGCTTCCCCAGAAATTGTGCGATTGGATCACCAGCTTTCTTGCAGATCGGAGCATCAAGGTCGTTGTAGTCGGTGCAAGCTCCGATTGCAAGCCTATTAATGCTGGTATTCCACGAGGCTGCGTGCTATCGCCAACGCTGTTTCTTCTGCATATCAATGATATGTTGCAAACCCGTAACATTCATTGCTATGTAGATGGCAGCACTGGTGATGCTCTTTACACCGGCCGAGCCAATATTTCTCGGGAAAACGTCTCCGAGTGCCGGGACAAACTTGTGTCTGAAGTCGAGTCTTTTCTGAACAGAGTCTCGGATTGGGGGCGACTAAATCTAGACCAGTTTAACCCCCAGAATACACAAGTTTGCGCGTTAACCGCTAAAAAGAACCCCTTTGTCGTATCTCCTCAGTTTCAAGGCACTCCCCCTTGTTGCCTCAGCCAGTATCGGAATCCTCGGCGTCGACATATCGAGTGGCGTGCAGTTTCGTGGTCACTTGGAAGAGAAGGCCAAATTGGCCTCTAAAAAGCTTGGCGTGCTCAGCAGAGCGGGACAGTATTTCATGCGGGCACACCGCCTGCAACTTTACAAGGCGCAGGTTCGGCCGCACATGGAATACTGTTCCGATCTCTGGGCTGGGGCTCCCCAGTACCAGCTCCTTCCACTTGACCTCATCCAGCGCAGAGCGGCTCGAATCGTCGACGACCGAGTGCTTTCCGATCGGCTCGATTCACTGGCACTGAGAAGAGATGTTGCATCTCTTTACATTTTTTTCGCATATACCAGGGAGAGTGCTCTGAGGAATTGTTCCATGAGGAATGATACCATCAATACCATCTGGATGCTTGGCGGTCCACCACAGTACGTTTCAAAAGGAGTTTTCTTCCGCGTACAACCTCTCTGTGGAATTACTATTATTACTATTAAATAGACTTCAAATGGATAAAAACCCTTCTACGGCAACGGTAACCACTGGTATAATAAAAGAAGTGCTTGCCCTTTGGCAGCTATTACGGAAGTAAACGAAGGAAAAAAGAGAATTATATCAGCATATTGCAAATTGGATCTGAAAGCGAACATTTTACACGAATAACTTAACGTGAGAAGAGTAGTTTTGTGTTGGGTGCCCACTCTCACTAGTGCTCAGAATCAGGCCCGCGAGGAATGGTATCATTACATGGCTCCAGACTTCTCTCATCGTGTTTAAGACATTATTACAGGTGATGAATCTACAGTTTGGCTGTTTAAAATGAACCAACGCCTACTAAAGATAAGTGATCGAAAAGCATACAAAAGTATCAATACCAAATGGTATATTTTAAAGCGCTTTCTAAAAGTGTTCACTGATATGAGCAAAGCTAAACACCTGTAATGCATCACGATAACAACGCGCCTGCACGCTCATCGTTCAGAGGAGAGACTTCCTGGCCAGCACACTGGTTAAGCCTTTAGGTCACTTTACACTGATTGTGACTTCTTTTCATTTCCTTAAATTAAAATGTGAAAGGGTTATACTTATATAGTTTTCTTCACCGGAAGTAGCATTAGCAGTGTTCGAGCGGGCCGTAGAAAATTTGTCCAAGGCGGATTGAGAAAAGTGTTTCAAAAATTGGTTCAGACTGATTCAGTCGTATAAACTTTGTACACATGCTAGAAGAGTTCTTTGAAAATGAATTATAGAAATAGATTTATGAATAAAATTTTTATAATATTATCAATAAACACTTTAAATACTTTCTCAAAACTTTCTAAATGACCCTCAAATAGACAATATTAAAAAAAATCAAACATGCAATTAGGAAAACGAGGAAACCATTAGGAAGCTGATAATTTAAAAAATCAAACATGCAATTAGGAAAACGAGGAAACCATTAGGAAGCTGATAATTTAATTTTTTATTTATAACATCGTAGTATTTTCGGTGATATACTCGTATTGATTGATCAAACACGTGACTTAGTATGTGGATAGTGTGTCAATAAGTGGAAGCTAATAGAGAACATAACTTATCTCATTTTGTATAAGCTTTTACTATGGTGACTCTCATTTTTAAATATCTGGGACTTCGTTATTACTTGTGAATTAAAAATTAATACTTTGTGTTTTTTTTTCCTCATTATTGTTGCCAGAAATGAATATATTTTTATAACATTGCTAGCACTGAGAAAGGTACCCGTCATTCAACTACACTTTTTAAAATAATGCTTTCTTATATATTTAGGCGAATACTACACATTGAATAAAACTAATTTTACGGATTGTATCGCGTTTAATTTCCACTTACTTAATTCCCGACGTTTCGGGCAGTTTGTAGCATTTTCACGAGGGGACTGAGGTACTTAACGTCCCAATGTCGTAGTTAACGAAGGCTGATAAAATATCGCAGAAATCGTAATAATAAGATATCATTACGATTTCTGTATAAAATATCTATCTATGATTCTGATAAAATATCTATCAAACTTTGGCCAATCCCTTCACTGAGAGAGAGAGAAAGAGAGAGATGTGTCCAGCAGGGATACCAGATGTTTAAGATGATAATGATAATTACTCAAACTGTTTCAGTTAGACATCTTTTATAGGTGATTTATTTAAGTAGTTTTGATTCTAAATAAATAAATGCAATGTGCTGTACTGTACTATAAGGTCGGGGAAAAAGTTTCTTCGTATTTTATTTACAAATTCAAGACGTTTTCTTTTCCAAAGTTTAATTACATTTAACTATAATATATATGTGCCATTTTGTTCCATAACTTGTAGTTATCTTGTAGATAGTGACATAATCCCGTTGCTGTGGAAATCTTGGAATTTTTGATCAAAAAAATGTCACAAGTAGTTTTAACAGTCCTCTCTTGATATTAACCTAACATTACCTAAAGAATTCTGAAGAGACCGAAACAGGTGAAAATCTGAGAGTGCAATGTCAGGACTTTACGGTGGATGCATTAACACTTCCCAACCAAGCTCTCAATTTTTGCTGAGTGGCCAAAGATGTATGTGGTCTGGCGCTATCACCTTCTAGAAAAGAGGTTACTCCTTTCTAAAAGGCCGGCGCCTGCAATTCCCGTGACTGCAGTTGTCACTTACCGGGGGCGACGGTAGTCACTTACCATCAGGTGAACCGCATGATCCTTGGCCCCTATTCTATAAAAAAATCATAATGAAACTACTCCTTTTCTGTTGATCAATTCCGGCCGTTTTTTGTCAATATCTTGCTTGAGTCTCATTAGTTGTTGACAGTAGAGATCCGAATCGATGATTTTACCTCGAAGTAAAAGCTCACAATAAACGATACTCTTTCAAATTCACCATGCACACAGCATCACTTTATTGCGTGTTAATCCGGGTTTCACTACAGTCTAAGGAGCTTGACTACCCTTTTACCATGATCTTTTCCGCACGTTCTTGTAGGTGATCCACTTTTCATCACCAGTGATCAATCCTTTTCAAAAATGGTTTGATTTTATTACATTGCAATAGAGAATAATAATAACGTAATTTAATTTGTAGAATCGCACAGCATCGCAAATGAGTACACGATTCATTAGGTTTCTTTCAGTGAACTCGTGTGGTGACCCAAATATCGAGCTTTTTTGTGGAGCCAGACCGGCCTGTAAAATATTTTCGTTTCAGTTATCCCATCGATACGAAAATTAAACGAATGTTTACTGCAATTTCATTCTGTCTTATTCAATTTCCATTCTGTCTTAGTTCTTTGTAGTGACAATGCATCTGCATTTTGATTCTTTATCAAGGTTAGACGTAGATGTGTATGGGGTTCAGCATGCACATGTCATAAGGGGACTGTGTATTCATTGTCACCGTATTCTTCAAATAAATGCCATAGTGAAATAGTAGCGTAAAACTGTTGTGTTTTATACAGTAATTCACGAGAAACGGGTCTCCGTTTCTATTCTTTGTCCTTGAGTTTGACAACGCATTATAAACGCATATAGATTCTTAATAGAAGATAGATATATTTGTATCTACGGTACTTCTATACGATACACTTTTTTTACCAAATATTGTCCGAGGAGGGAACGTAGAAATCATTAGACTGGACCTCTTCAACTAAACGTTTAGTTTTAGTGTGGCTCTAACCATTCAGTTATCGCTGCCAGATTGGCTTCGCTGCTGTGTTTAGTATATACTTTACTGCACTTTTTGCATTGCTTTAAATCTAAGACTCTTGTAATGTAATCAACTTTTTTATTTGTGAGCTTCTAATAAAATTAAACTTAGCGCACAACAAAATAATATATTAATAGACCTTCAACCTGATAAATAGTAATTCAAATGGATCAAAACTGTTTTGTGGTCCATTCTCAATTCCTTCGATATTTCGTAACTACTAACATGCCGATGTTGCTCAACTTTTTCAAAAATGCCATCTTATCCGTATGAGGCCGACTAGAGCGAGCTGCATATTTGACTTCAAAATTCCCGGATTGAAAACACTTGAACCAACTTTGTGCTACTTTTACTGATACTGTATTAGGTCCATAGACGTCAAAAAATTTTTGAGGCTTGAGTCGCATTTTTCTATTTTATGTAATAAAACTTCAGAATGTATCAAATTTCCTCATTACATTCACTCATTTTGGCGGACAAAAAAAAAAACAATTGAATATGGTGAGAAAAAGTTTTTTACTTTTTCTTAATATCCTATATGCATTGATATTAAAACCGGCTGGATATAAACATTACAACCAAAGAGATTTTTCTTCAATTATATACTAACAATATACGAAAAAACTTTTTTCCGAACCTATTATATCACAAAGAAATGATACAAATATTATATTATGTAATCTCCTTAGTTTTTAATTTTTAACAAAAATCCTGTTATATTTTTAAAAAGTGTATGGCCTGTACAATAGAGCAATTGCAGTAACAAGGCAAAACGAGCAACATTGAGTCTATCTCCGTTTCAAAAATAGAACAGTTGTCTGTTGAATTTATTTATAAAATGTCTTAAGATCCTATTTTTTTTTTTCATTAAAAGTAGTATAGCGTAAAGTAGCAACATATAGACCCACTGCTAGTTATAGGTCTACTCACATTTCTGGGAAGATTACGTAATAGTTAGTCCGTCTAGCTGTTCCAGTGCAGTGATGGGCTTCATATATTTTCAAAACATTAATTATTTCTCACACGTGCATGTTTACAGACCATTTCCTTCACTAGTACAGACGCCATTCACCGCCTTTGTGGTAAATTAGCACTTAGAGCTTAGAGTGTCCTAAGTTTAGCTGAAAGCCAAGGTCGATTTGGAGTCAATTCATCAGCGGAATTCGTTTATCAATTAAACCGGCGATTTCCTAGCCCTTCATCCCAGACTTTTTATATCGTGCTTTCTGTTATACGCATAAAATGTAAATGCTACTACTTAATTCTTTTTCAACTTACCTATAACAGTCCATTGATGGCCATTGATCTCTCCCTTTATAATGACGCTTGGAAGCTGAATTGACGACCGCAGCGCCTCGCAGTTTTGACGCAGCTGCCTACAGAGTACTTTTTTACAGCTGCCCGTCGCCGGTCTGTATATTTTACGTCGGGTCCAAAAAAACTATAGGTCTGACGTAATCGAAATGATTATACCGCCATCTATCGAAAGCAATAGGACTATTCTGGAATTTCCATTGTCGCCTCTCTCGACATTCACAGATTTAATGAGCTTATAAGTAAATTAAATGGTTTTTAAGTGTCATTAAATTAATATTTGATATTAAATTAATAACACTTAAAAAGTCATAAATTTTAATGGTTACAGGAAATAACAATCACTCAGATGATCTGACGATAGTTTGCGAATGTAATTCCGGTGTTGAAATCTGCAGTCGACCATGTTGGTAAAATTACAAATGTCCGCCGTGCTGTTTTCGTCAACACGCATAAAAGCAGCGAGACGAACTAAACTAATCTTTTATTCTCGCTTCTTTCCTCCCTCTCAGAAACGAGATGCATTCTGAATTGAACAAATGAAAGACTGTTTGTTACTTTTGTGGTAAAATAATAAAATCATAATAATAAGAAAACATAAAATAATAACATAAAACGCCGGTTTGTTTCCCTTTCCCACTTAACCCTTGGCCTTTTTGTATCCCCTGCCGAATTATGCAATCACATTGTATTATGTTAATCTCGTTTTTATAATTTATAAGAATAATAATTTTGGGTATTCAGATCAGCTAGTCAGTGGCGAAACCGATGCGGGGAGCACGGGAGGTGGCTCACAAACGTCCTGGAGGAGACCGGGGTCCAATTCAGGTAAGTTTGAAGGTAATTTATTAGACGAATATTGAAAAAGAATAAAAGTTTCGCTTTTGTTTTTGAAAAAGGTAGTGATTTAAATTTTGTAATTGAAATATTAAGTTGATATGTTATGGAACAAATATTTATTATTTATATAAGAATTTATATCGGTAATTATCATTTTGATAACAATAAATGGCTTTAGTAGTTTTCTATAATTACAAAGAGTAAACGGTGAACACTTTAAAAATGCACATATAATATGATCAAATATAGATGATAGGGTTGCCAATCCAACCATAAAATATATATTATATTAGGTACTGTTACGAGCTTGCATCAGGGTATCCCAAAATAGGTGTTTTGCACAGACGGTCCTTGAGCTCCTGGAATGCGATATTGCAACTTTCATCCCAGCAGAAATGTCGCTTCTTCTCGGTTAGCTTATGCAGAGGTTTGGCTATATCTGCAAAGTTCTTCACAAATCGCCGGTAATAGGAGCACAAATCCAAAAATGCTCTAACCTGCGTCTTGTCTTTTGGAGCCGGCCAATCCTTGACAGCTGCGATTTTCTCCGGATCCGTGCGGATACCTTCTTCCGACACTACATACCCCAAAAAGTTGACTTGCCGTTTGAATAGTGAACATTTCTTCGAACTCAACTTGAGGTTGGCACTCTGAATCTTCATGAGCACGCGTTCCAGGTTTTGAAGGTGTTCCTCAAACGTACGGCTCACGATGATGATGTCATCCAAGTAGACCAGACAGGTATCGCCAATTAGCCCGGTAAGTACAAGTTCCATCAGCCTTTTAAACGTTGCTGGAGCATTGCACAACCCAAACGGCATTACCTTAAATTGCCACAGACCCTTTCCCGTCGAGAACGTAGTTTTCTCCTTGTCCTTAGGGTCAATTTCAACTTGCCAGTAGCCACTTTTTAGATCCAGTGTGCTAAACCACTTTACTCCTGTAAGCATGTCCAGCGTGTCATCAATTCTTGGCAAAGGATAGCTGTCCTTCTTCGTAACGTCGTTCAGACGGCGGTAGTCAACACAAAACCGCATGCTGCCATCCTTCTTCTTTACCAGCACCGCGGGTGAACACCATGGACTAGAGGAAGGCTCAATAACACCATCCTTCACCATTCCTTCAATCATGGTTTCTACTTCCTTTTCACGTGCCGGTAGCAATCTTCTTGGTCGCTGATGGATAGGCAATTCTTCTCCTGTGTTTATTTTGTGTTGAACTAAGCCAGTCTTCCCTATGTCAGCATCGTTTGATGAGAATACATCGGCGTACTTGAGTAACAACTTCTTTCCCTTGACCATTTCGTTCGGGGAGAGAACGCTGCGACAGTCTTCCAAAAGTGGGGTCACTCTCGTTTGTGCATCCTTGCTAGGGGTCTCACTCGATAGATATTGGCACCGACGTAACCAATCCACTTCCTCACAAGTACCAACCAGCGTGCCTTTTTCTATAATCTGTTCCCGGTCACAAAGGTTCAGCACACTTACTCCTGAGATGTCAGTGGTTCTGACCAAGGTTCGAGCTACTTTCCAAGGAAGGTCATTGTTTACCCTTTCCACAAGTACACAACGGTGAGCTTGCCCAGCGTTTCGATGAAGACTAACCGGCACAATCGTTTCCGATCTCGACGGAAGAACAATCTTCTTAATGCTGTACACGTTCCCTGGTAACGCACCTTCCATAAAAAGTTCCTCCTGTCCACATTTCTAAACACTTGCTTAACGTCGATCTCACAACAAATATCCCTCATAAAGTCTAGGCCCAGGATGCAGTCGTCATTATGCAGGTATAGGCCATTTCTTTGTACCTATAGCATAGAGCAACATGGCGACGCGCTCGCGCGAGCGTGTGCGTGCGTGCGTGCGTGCGTGCAAGCGTGCGCGTGCGCGTGCGCGTGCGCGTGCGTGCGTGCGTGTGTGTGTGCGCGTGGTGTGGGTGTGTGCGTGTGCGTGTGTGTGTGTGTGTGTGTGTGTGTGTGTGAGAGAGAGAGAGAGATTAATTTCAATTATACTATTTTTCATTTTGTCTTCTTCTTACTTCGAGAATAACATTTTATTAAGTTAATTACGAAAAAAATTTGGCAATCCTAAAATCTACCTTTACTTTTAGCCTATTTCAATACTTGTAATTGTACAGTTCGGAGAGATTGGGTGAAACATAATTTGACTGCCATTTCTTTGTACCTATAGCATAGAGCAACATTGCGACCAGCGGACCGGAGGGGGAGTAGACATTCACAAACGGTCCCCTCTATCAAAATATAAGTTCACACGGTCTTATGCGAACAACAAAGGTAGTTTACAACAAAACAACAAAAGTAGTTAGTAGTGACGACTCCGTGGCGCAGTGGCTTAGCAATGAGTGGCTGCGCTGGGGGTCGCGGGTTCGAATCCCGCACGTTGTTCCGTGCCGTTCCGTATTTGTATGGCCTACAAATAATTGTTCCGGGTCTGGATGTTTGTCCTCGTGCAATTTATGTTTGTAAACTGCCCCCACGATACAGGAGATTATCCTATTGTAGAGGTAACGTTTAAAAAAAAAAGAATAGTAAAAGAAAAGAAAAGCATAGTTGCAGGTTGCAGCCTGTTGCAGCCGCACTGCTCATTCACTAAACTAAATCTATTTACGCGACCGAATCGACGTCCCACAAAAATGCCACATTGTTCAGGTTTTAGGTGCAAATAGAGATCTGCCAAACAAAAGTAATTTTTAATCACATTGTTGCTATTTTCTTCTTTTGAAACTTTAAATATATAATGATAACGGTCGTGTTGTATCGGATTTGTTTACCAATAACATGCCGTTCACTCATCACTCGCTCGAGTTGTCGCTGTCACTGAGCGATATTTTTATATTATATCAATGTGTGTGTGAAATATTTACTTTATTCTTTTAATTGTTATGTGTGTGTTTCGTAGTGACATACGAATGATTTTATGTGCGAAAATTTCCTCATTGAAAAAATGACAGACAGTTCTGTATCAAGAAAAAACGCTTTGGCTACTTTCCTCATTCCCTCCGGTCCTCCGGTGGCCCGTGTTGCTTTATGACTTAATGTTGCAATCACAGTCTTATTATTACTTTTTCTGTGGTTACAATGTAACATTTAAATAGATGAGATACATATATTATATTTCTTTCATATAGTTTAGTTAATTACTACTAAACTACTAACTCTAAGTCTAAATACTTAGGTATGTAGTTATTGTATCGTAGCTCGTAGTGCATGCTTATCACCTTCCAACTCTGACAAGTTTCCAAAAACTTTTCCTCATTTAATTTTTAACTTTTTAAGGTGGTAAAGGTGACGGAGATCGCGACAGATATCCACCAGACGTTGACCGCTACCCTGATGACGATCGGTACCCAGCGGACGATGATCGGTACGATCGGAGACCTAACCGGAGACCGGACCGGTATCCACCGCCCGACGACCGGTACCCGGCCGGTCCCGACCCATATCATGAAAGATATCCATCAGGAGACCGTTACCCGCCCGCTGATAGATATCCCGATGACAGATATCCTCCCGGTGTCGGCCCTGATAGATTCCCATCGGATAGATACCCTCCAGGAATAGATAGATATCCTGATAGATATCCAGCACCAGACAGATATCCAGCACCAGACAGATATCCTGCACCAGACAGATATCCTGCACCAGACAGATACCCTGCACCAGCTGGAGATCGCCTCCCAGTTGACAGTGGACGATATCCATTCTATGATTACCAACCAAATGACATTGGTAGATATCCCGATGCAGATAGATACCCCGTTAGCAGATATCCTATTGACGTATATCCTGATAGAGTTCCCGAAGATCGCTATCCATCTGATAGATATCCTATTCGTGGAAGCGGCAGATATCCACCTCGTCCCTCACGATATCCTATCCGATATCCTGATCGCTACGATCAGGATCGGTTTTCTGGCACGAATGATTGGGGTAGATATCCATTCAGTCGATATCCAGTTGGTGTGAATCGAGACCCGGCACCACTGGGTGGTGAGCGGTATCCAGATCTCTATGACAAATATCCGCCGACCGGTTCGTCATATCCTGGTAAGCATAATTTTATGAGACTACTGCCTTTTACAAATATACAGCCTATACAATATTCAAAATGTACCAGGGAATGTTAACTTTATTGCTTACTTTATTGAAAAATAGGTTTCGGACGTGGCGGTTATTACGGTTCTGAATATTCCGGAGGTGAAAGGTTTCCAGACAGAGGGGTTCGTCCTGCGCCTGATAGGTAAGCGTCTAAATGTAATTATTAAATAAATGTAAAGACGATTTGTGTCCAACCTCACTATCAACTAATAGCTAATTAATAATATAAGCAATTATTTAATTTTGTCAACATATTAGAATAAAATAGAATAGTGAAGTATATCGTTTACATTAAAATCTTAAATATATTAGGGAATATCAATATCTACTACAAACGACTAGATGACAGTATAACATAATATAGTACTAAATACTAATACAGTTACCGTGTAAGAATATCCACTACCCCATATCATCCCGTGGGTGCCGTAAGAGGCGACAGAGGGAAACAAATCAGGAGATGGGCTGCAGAGTCTCCCTAATAACGACTAAAAAGACTGCAGTTGCCCGCGTGTTAATCGGGAGATGGGCACAAGCAACTTCCTAATAACGACTAAAAATAAAAAACTGCGGTTGCCAACCCGCTTGCCAATCGTGGCAACTATGATCCTTTTATGGGGGAGGTCTATGTTCAGCAGTGGACTTAAATAGGCTCTAACCGTAATGGTAATACCAACGGTAACGGTAACAGGAGACGGGCAGAAGCGTCAATGTTGTGAGACCTCTTACGCGCGATTTATACAGAAGAGACCTGGCGAAGGCGTGTGGCGGTGGCGGATAATTAAAGAAACATATAATAGACCTTATCTATAATAATAATAGACTACTAAATATGGGTGGCGGTGGCACGCCATCTGGTGGCGGGGACGTCTCCTTCCGACAAAAACGACGTTATGCGACATAATTATTAGGTCTATTTTATGTTTTTTTGATTATCCGCCACCGCAACATGCCCTCACCATGCCTCTTCTGTACAAGTCGCGCCAAACACTTCAATTGTCAATCCGCCTCCCAATTGTGATGATTTGGACATAAAGGATCCTTATCCAACAGAAGACGTTGAGGGGCTGACAAAGAAGTAGAAAAGATTTCTGTAGATTAATACGTGAAGGGAAAACTTTGTACCCATTTATAAGCGCACAATACTACGCCTTCTGTACTACGTTTGAGAAATGGCATAGTTAAAGTCTCGTTAATACGTGAAGATTATCATCCATAATCCATATCTTAATTCTTTTAACAACCAACATGACAAAACGTGGTAGGTCAGATGGTTAGCGCGCTCGCTATAAATTTCACAGTACGCAAACAACCTGGGTTTGATCCCCGCTGGTACCAACGAAATTGTTAATTGCAATTTTAAGTGCTGTAATCGTGAGGAAATCTGCATGTCTCAGAAATAATAAAAAAAATATTTCGAAGGAATGTGAAGTTCGCCAACACGCATCGGGGCTTCTTTGCTCTAAAACGCTCTCTGAAACAAGAGGAGGCTTGTGCCCAGCAGTGGGACGTATATAGGATGTATCTTTATGTCAAAAATGTTATAATTAGAGATAGTGGCATCTTTTTATATTTTGTGGCAATTTATTAAATAATCTTATAGTCATAATACCGTGTATTTTATTTGTTAGGTACCCTGTTGAACCCAGACCCACATTTGGCTTGAGACGACCAATAGACCGACCAGGCGGTTATCGTGGCACCTACGCTCCGCATGGATTAGACAGACCGATAGGTAGAGCATGAAATTGACTTACTACCGACAGGAAGAATATTACTCCATTAAAAATTCTATAAAAATTAAATAAATTATTTGCCTTTAAGGTGGTGCAGGCTACGGAGGTTATGAAACAGATGGACCTGTCGGTCCTATCGGTGGATCCATTGGTGGCTCCATAGGCGGTCCCGTCGGAGGTCCCATCGGTGGTCCAATAGGAAGACCACCGGTTGGCAATCGGCCCTGGCAAGGATCGCGTTGTGAAGAAGACAGTTTCAGGCAGGTCGGCCGGCAGCGCATGCAAAAGCGATTCGTCCGCCGCTTTACTACCGCTCAATCCTTGGCTCACTGCCAAAGAGAATGTATTGAAGCAAGAGACTTCATTTGTCGGTCATTCAACTTCAAGTAAGGAGTTACATACTTGTAGCTAGTATAATTTCACTTCTTTTTAAGAATAAGGGTAACGAAAGAGCGCAAAGTCACAGGCTCACAGATACTTACATTTTTCTCCATTAAAACCCAAAATAAAGATGCGTTGCCATCCCAAAGACTAAAGTAGAATGCCACTTACCAGTAAAAAGTGTCCCCGGTTCCCTACTCTCACCATACGATACACATTAGCATTAAGCTGCTATTTTGTGAGAACGTAGTCCTTCAACTTGAATTATTCGTGCTGAACCTATTTAAATATCGAAGTTTAAGCGATTAATTAAAACAATTTTATTCAAAGTGATCTTTGACTTTGATACGGGCTGCTTAATCTCTCCGGTCACAAATCTATCAAATCTCATCTAATCAGTGAATTTATGCACTGTCCCCATGGGCCCTTTAGCTAATTCTAAAGATTTCTTAAAAGACGTAACGACTTAATGTCGGAGTAATATTTTGAGCGGACTATGCCTATTTGTACCTACTGGACAAAATTTGTAGTCTAGTGTTCAGATTTGGTTCGGACGAGTGCCATTCTTTAGCTCTTACAAGGTCCGAAACATTATTTACGATCCAGGTTTAATGTTTTCGTGTCTTGTGACCTGGAGCAGCTGCTGGAAAGTATAAGGTGCATTTAAAAAAATGTATACCTGAGAGGCACTTCACGATCCAAGACAGAAATTTGATTAATTTCATCCAAAGTGTTTACTCCTTTTTAGAGTGACAAACTTCTTATCTTCATGTCACCAAACGATCATTAAGGCAAGATAATGACAACTTGAACTTTTCCAACTAGTTATTTCTATATTATTTTATTGCAATATTGAATGAATTTCGGAGTACCTTTATTTACATAACATTCAAATATCTTTCTTCTTTATTCTGTGATGTTACACTGTTAGCCTACGCGACTCTTACAGCTTTATGTGACCGAGTCAGATAAATCACTGCTGGAACTCTACCATATTAGAGAAGATTCGCTACGCTTGACAGACAGATCGGTAATCAGAGTAGGTACTAGATATTGCACCTTTGTCTCGGCACCCGTCCGTCACCTTCCTAGGTATTTTGCTTTACGTACGTACGAGGTGTTAAATATTTATCTATCACAATCCATGAGATTTTTCTTATATTTCTAGTAGTCATCCATTATCACACCACACGACGATATGGAGTAATAGGTTCTCATCACAGCCACAACATGATAAATCTTTAAAAAATTCAAATATCTAACGCATGTGCATTTGGATTCTTAATCAAAGATAGATGTAGAACACAGCATCCACTTAGCACACGTGGATTATGTGCCGGTTTGTCACCCTTATACTTTAAAAAAAAGAGATATAAAGATGGAATGTCTCGTTTCCTGTAAAATTGTTCTCTACACTCACCACACGAAACATAACAGCATTAACCCTATAACATTTTTTTATAGGATTGGGTAACAAACTAGCACATAATCCACCTGATGGTAAGTGCTTGCTGCGGCCCGTAGACATCTACATCTAACCTCGATTACAAATCAAAATGCAGATGCGTTGTCACCCGTGAGAACTAAGATGGAATGCCTCGTTTCTAGTAAAAAGGGTCTCCGGTTCTCTACACTCACCATACGAAAGCACCACTAAGCACAGCAGCATTAAGCTACTATTTTACGCTGGTATTCTGTGAGAGCGTGGTCCTTTACCGGTCGAGCCGACCCATTCCTACCTAGTCCTATGGGCCACAGCATCCACTTACCATCAGGTGGACTATGGGCTCGTTTGTCACCCTTATTCTATAAAAATAAAATATCCCCCCCATAATGTATCATCCTATGGGGAAGCCTTGAACGAATTAACCACTGTGGTTAATTCGTTCAAGGGGGAAGCCTATATTCAGCAGTGGACATTAGTAGGCTGGAACAGTAACGGTTTGTTATAGGGATAGCGGATATGATGCCGTTTCACGGGATAATTGTGAGCTCAGTGATCGTGATACCCGAGAGCTAGACGCAGCTAATCCGGCACATTTTGATAATACAGCTAACGATTATGACTTTTATGAGCGAGCTCTTGGACGTATGGCAGACGACTGTCTTGATGGTAAGTTTTTTTATTAATTATACTAGAATAAATGACGAATTTGTGGTGAATTATAATTATGGCTACTAAATTCCATTAAAACCTACAGCCAACCTCAAACAAAGGAAATAGCAAATTCGATCTCATCTCATCCCTATAGAATATCATAAAATACTTCATAGGCCATAATTTATGTATGTACAGTGGATTTCGGGTATAACGACGATGAAGGGACCATTCTATTTTCGTCGTTATATCCGGAAGTCGTTACAGGCAAAGGTAAAGGGATACAGGCACGTACACATGTATAGTTTATATTAGTTTATTATTGAAAATGTTTGCACACATAGTTATTTACTGGTACATTTCAAAATGCTACTCAGAATATCACTTTGTAACCGAACCAACCAACTCCGAAACGTACACGCTTCCCTACCTACTTAGCTGATATCTATAAACAAAAGGTAAAGGTCTCCACACTTGCTGACCATGTGTGTGGATGTAAACAAAAGATAAGAAATGTTTGTGAAAGAAAGAAATTGTTTTGTGTCTTTGGCGGCCGACTCCGGTTGCAATATCTGCATGGGATTTCTAGGAATTTGTCTCGGCGTTACATCCAAAATCGCTATAGCCTATAGCCACATGAATTTTGTACTAGTCATTGAGGTATTACTACTACGTACGTTAGTAATATAGTTCGATGACTAAAGTGTGTTTTAAATTCAAGGGACTTAGATTTAACGTCGCTATAGGTAAATGGTCGCTATAACCAAGGTCGTAATAAATGAGTCCACTGTCTCAGATGAAATAAAAGTTTTTATTTCGTCTGAGTCGTTCGTATGTTATTTTCTTTTATTAGTTTTAAAAAATCGACATGTTGGGGATTATCGAGTAGCAGCTTCGTACCGGTATGCGAAGTGTAGGGCGTCTTCCTACGTGATGGAGTGACGACCTGATATTGAAATTGTAGCAGGTATTGCAGGAAGTCGATAGATACAAGTGGCAGTAGTAAGCAGTAAGACTTGTAATGGGCTGAAATTATGATCATGGGGATGATGATGACAAGCTGTTGAGTTTTTTAATATGACTGTGTTATAGTTGTACCCGTGACATTGATACTTCTAATTCTAACCTTAAACTTCACTTAAATAGTACCTAAATCGACCATGCGAACATAAATTATTCTGGCTCTCCTTATATTCAAATTGGAACAGTAGTCTAATACAAAGCTTCTAGTATAATGAATATGGTGGTGGTATTAATTGATATAATACCTTTTTTTTAATATTTACAGTTTCGCAAGTGTGCAATGAAGACGGAATGGAATTTACTCTTCGCCTTCCTGAAGGATTTTACGGTCGAATGTACACTTACGGATTTTACGACCGTTGTTTCTTCCGCGGCAACGGCGGTGTTTCAAATGTACTTCGAATAACTGGTGCTCACGGGTACCCTGAATGTGGTACACAACGGGTGGGTATTTAAAAGAAGAAAGAAAGAAAGAAAACATTTATTGCTCAAATACGACATGTAATTTAAACATAAAATAAAAATACATAGTAAAAAGAAAAAAAGAAGAATAAAAAAAATATTAAAAAATCAAGTGGCGGGTGTTTTTATATTTTTATCAGAAATAAGCAATACCCATTTAATTTTTGTCATAAGTTACTTGTTACATAATTATTTCTAAAGGAGAGAATTTGACATATATGATGATTAATAGAAGTTTTTGGTTAAATTAATATAATTTTCAGTTGTTTTTGTTTGCTACTCCATATTTTAAACATCACTCATCATCAAACATCATCTCATATCTTCCTGGCAACTATGGCAAAGGCCCCCATGAAGCACTTTTATAGCATGTAATAGATACTATAGAACCGATATATATATATATATATGCAATATCATCACCCTAATCCTATGAAACAATCTATGACAAGCGTAATTAGCAAAGTTGGGTCTACTCATAGAACACTGTAATACACAATAGAATGGCTGTCAACCTTATTTTGTACGAAGATAGGCGTCGCCGGGAGCACACATACAAGCAATTACGTACTATTATCACTACTACCAACCCGATTCACTGTGTTGACAGACATATTTTATTACGTATTTATTTGTAAATAGCGTGCAATTTGGCATTTTCTAAATAATTTGCATGCGAAATTTTGAAACGATTGTAACGTCAAAATACATCTCGTGTTGACATTTATACGTGTGAATTGACGTGCTAGTGACATTTTAGTGGCTACACGGACTCTGCCCACTCCACCGTTCTATTATGTATGTAATTATAGTATTCTATGAGTCTACTAGTGTATAAGTCTGCTCCAAAGACTAAAGATGATTACATAAAACACGATCCAGTACCCCGCATCCATTGACTCCCTGCCTCATGCCATCTTCGCTGTCTTGATTAATCGTTAATATTTTAAAACTTTTGCTAACACTAACGACATATTTTGTATTTGTATTGATCTAATCAAGTGTGATCAAACTGATATTTTTTAGAGTATTGGTAGAAAATGCTTAAAGAAGTCCGCATTTTGCATTCTTTCTATAAGTTAATGCAAATGCAATAAATATTAAAATAAGTTCTTTTAAATTGACTGAAAAATGGCTTTCTTATTTGCTGACCACCTTACAGTACGGTGACACGATGACGAACATAGTAGTGGTACAGTTTAGCGACAATGTGCAAACCTCCCGTGACAAGAGATTCAATCTAACTTGCCTGTTTCGTGGTCCTGCCGAAGCTGTCGTAACTTCGAACTACATTGGAGCCGGGTGAGATAATTATTTATATTGATGGCTGTATCTATTTGAAAAGTAAAATATGCGAAATTGTTAGTAACAAATTTCGAGTTATAGGTGATTAAAAAATATTCCTAATTTTGTAAAAACTTTGAGGCTAAATTAGGGTTGATAAACAAGATACAAACATAAAGAGGTAATACTCCCTATTTTATATATCTAATGCTTATATATTATTATGAGAATTAACGGAGTGCATATCGTCATTCGGAACAATAATGATGTGCAATCGCCCTCTTCCTATTTGTGCCATTAAATAGGAGTACGTGTAGTCCGGCTCTCCATCTCAGTGCTCAAATATGAAAAAGAAGCAATGGGTTGGACCAGCCACTTACCATCAGGTGGACTATAAGTTTGTTTGTCGCTTCAAATTTATTTTTAAAAACACAGCCTTTATACTAAATATTAACTTCGGTGAAACTGTGATAAAAATATTACTTATTAACAACTGCGTAAATTGCATCTGAGTTACAAGCTTACTCAGCTGGCTTTCCCTGAACGACCTTGTTTTATATTTTGTAAACTAAAAATTTCCGTGCAAAATTTTGCTTGATAATAACATTTTCAAATAGATGCAGCCATGTCTTTTACAACTCATAACCGAGTTTGCGTGATTTGTTACTAAGCGGAAATATAATGGATTGTTTTAGGTTATGTTTAACTATGTCAATTGGGATGATGTTGTCACTTGGGATAATACTGTTGGTCTCATAAAGAATGCTTTTGCTTTTGTGTGGTTTTTTTTGAATGTTTTTATCTATATCTGCGTTTGTGTGAGTGTGTGTGGTTTGTTTGTCTTATATGCATAAGATATTTTACTTTACTTCGAACTTTTAAATTGTCTGTTATTATAAATTTGGGATTAATATTATTCTATGATAATTAATGTTTGCTGTTATTTGACTAACAGCTACTAACGATAGACTATGAATGAATTCTCTCAATTCAAGTGTATTGCAAAAAGTATATAAAACAGTTTATTTTATTAATCGTTTTATTTGTTGAATAATGGTTCATTCAAAGTCAAAACGCTATTCTATTCAAACTTAACTTCAAACCTAACTGTAGTTTTGGTTATAATTTGATTGACAGATCGGGCAGTCCCATACCTATTGAGTATCTCCCAGAAGAAAGTTCTCTCAATTCGAAGGTTCGCTTGATGATCCTTTACCAAGGTCGTCCAACTACAACGATCGCTGTCGGCGACCCGCTTACCTTCAGACTGGAAGCTCAAGATGGTTACAATTACGCTACAGACATTTTCGCAACAAACGTCATTGCGAGGGACCCATATTCAGGGAGATCTGTGCAACTTATTGACAGAGTTGGGTTGGTATCTAATTATATCAGTTTTAGTATTATATGCCATTTAGCGCCTATAACTGCAGCTAGCGTTCTTTGCGTCATGGCAGCTGACACTAGATATACAGCAAGAAATAGGAAGAAGTAGGATGCAAGAAATAGGAAGAAATAGGATGCAAGAAATAGGAATATATGAAGGTTATCGTTAATATTTATTAGTATTTTAATTGTTGCGTTTGAATTTATATCATAAACATCAATTTCAAAACTATTTACCATTTCAACTATTAAGTTTTATTATTGTGCTTTCCATTTTCATCCACCTTTTATTTCTCGACCATGCAGATATTATGGCACAAACGCTAGTGAATCTTAGCACTATGCTCAGTGATTTTGGTGTTTTCCAATGAATATGATGACACATCTCGTCATGTAACTCTGAAAGATGGTAAGAAGAGTGCACAACCAGTGTGAGTTCCATCCATTCATCAATTCAGCCTATAAAAGTCCACTACTGAACATGGGCCTCCCCATATATTGCCTCACAGGGGGAATTTTGTCGTAGTTGGTTGGTTTGGTTGTCAACCGCAGTTTTTTTTATAATTTTGAGTTGTTATCAGGAAGATGCTGCTGCCCATCCCACCTGTTTCAATTTCCCCCTGTCGCCTCTTACGACACCCACGGCACGATATGGGGTAGTTGATATTCTAACACCGCCACTACTCCAGTGCGCGTTAACAGTGATTAATTATGGATCTGAAACGTGGACCTTCACTGCTGACCGATTGAGAAAGCTTAAGGTTGCTCAGTGAGCTATGTAATAGGCTACTCCATTATGGAGAGAGTAACCAACAAAGTCCAGTGGATCAGTAAGCTGAAGTGACAATAGACAGGCCATATAGCTCGAAAAACCAACAACTGACGAAGAAAAGGTAACTTTTTAGACTGAATTGATAAGCAAAGTGTAGTGGCCTTTACTAGACGGCGATAGAGTGATGACCTGGTAATATACTTAAGAAGTCGATAGATGGAAATGGTGCAGAACCGTTAAAAATAAGTTAGTGATTTAAATAATAATACTTTATGGCCCATTTTAAGTATCGTCTTTTAATAAAGTTCAAATGTTTTAGTCAAATGTTTGATTACGAAATTAGTATCGCATTTAAAAAAAATCGGCTCGGGATTTTTCACTAATTTATTACATTAACTAAATTATGTTGATTTTTTATTATTTTAAGATGCCCTGTGGACCCAGATGTATTCCCAGAACTAGATAAAGGACGTAACGGTGATGCTTTGGAGGCGAGATTTAATGCCTTTAAGATTCCCGAATCTAACTTCTTGGTGTTTGAAGCAACAGTCCGCACATGTAGAGATGGCTGTCAGCCGGTAAGTATTTAAAAATGTGCCTAGTATTGTGCTTGAAAATTTTAAATAAGTTGTGGTTATTTTAATAAGTATTTTACTTATTGAAATTAAAAAATCGTTGGAAAATGGTTTACGAAATACTCTCTCTCTGCGTTTTCAGTGTTTTGCAATTCTTTTATCTAATCGAATTCTAATAATAATTCGTTCTCCTTATTCTAATCAATTACAATATTATAAGGTTTATATTTTTTGATGATTAGAATACCATCATCTTTACTAATTCAATTATTGTGATGATAATGAACAAACGAATGAAGAAATTAATTGTATAAATCGAGTCGGTTGCACTGAAACTCGCTTACATAAATAATTATTTCATTATTACATAAACTAAATAAATTATTCATTCAGTGACTAAATATGAGAGCTTTAGAAAAATGAAATTCAATGTCAGAGATGCGAGGATACAACAATCATTTTACACAAAATACAAACTCAGACCCACACATAGTAACTTAAATTATACGGTCGCAATTCAATCATAATTAATTCGCATATCACATTACTAAAAGATAAAGTTATTTATTAAACAGTAGTCAATCTGGAGTAATAACCTAGCTTTAAGAGATAAAACAAATAACAAAGTATTTATAAGATACAATACGATGACGGATTTACGTCAATCGTAGGAAACTTCTGCGATTTCCTACTTATCATCCGTAACTAGTTATTAAGGATCAGTAAGGTTATCTTACAAACTATATAATGGTATATAATAAAATACCTATTTGTGCAGTTTTATTGCTGTGCCTATAATATATTATCTACTTTGATCACGTGACGTGTTTGTGTTTTAATAGGCTTATTGTCCGAGTCACACAGGACGATCGGAACCGTCTTTTGGACGCCGCCGTCGTGAGGTGAATTCCACACTAGGCGTAGAAAGCAACGACACAATTCAAGCAAAGAACGAAGAAGAAGATAAAACCAAAAGTAACGAAGACAACGGTGGGACTGTTTACAAAATTTCTTACGAAGAGGCCAGCGTCGACAAATATCTTAAAGATGAAGTGGAAACACCAAGTCATGTTAGAAAGATGATTGAGGTAAGTTTAACTAATTAATTTTAGAAAGCGTATTCCATTATACACATCGGCCCATAAGAAATCTACTGTTAGACGTGGGTCTCTTCCAGAGAGGATTTACTATTAATCAAGACAAGATAATTAATCAAGGCGAAGCTACGAGGGCGGCACTGAAAATTTCGAGAATCAAGGAAGTGACACAACATTACTATTTAAAAATGTATTTATTGCTTTTCGAAGTATTCTTCGCGAAATTTGACATACTTTTCTATACGATGGATCCAATCATTGAAGCAACCATTCCATTCGGAAGTTGGGGTCTCCAAAATGGCCGTTTTGTAGGCGTCCACAGCTTCTTCATGTAATGAAAATCTCTGTCCACGCAATTTATTCTTTATTTTAGGGAAAGTATAGAAATCATTAGGGCTTAGGTCGGGGCTGTACGGCGGATGGTCTAATAATTCTATGTTTTCTTGCTTTAAAAACTCTTTTGTTCTGTGTGCGGTGTGACAACTCGCAACTGAGAACTGTCGTGATGGAGGATGATGCGGCGGTTGCAGTTCTTTTTACGGAGTTCAGAAAGGACCTGTGGCAAACAAATGCTAGCATACCATTATGCATTAACCGTTCTTTGTCTCTCGAGAGGAATGATGGAACATGGCCGGTTTTGGAGACAAACGTGGCCACCATTTTTTTTTGCAACACTTCGTGAACAAACAATTTTTGTTGGCTTCAACTCATTTTCAAACACCCAAACTCGTGACCGGTTTTTTGTTTCGGGTTGATACGCCATCCAGGATTCATCACCTGATACGATGTTGTATACAGTATTTGAGGATCCTGCGTGGAGTCTTTCGAGAGTTCTGACTCACCAAGTAACGCGAGCCGCTTTTTGCTCTTCACAGTGCGAATGCGGTATCCATCGGGAAAACAACTTTTTTACACCTAATTGTTCATGCAAGATTATTTGTATTTGACTCATGCCAATGTCTAAAGTTGCCTGAATTTCTCGGTATGTCACATGTCGATCTTCCTCAATCAGCTTACGCACAGCATCAACGTTTTCTTGGGTGACTGCAGTTTTTGGACGATCTTGACGGGGATCATCACTGAGCTTGACACATCCACTTGAAATTTAGCAAACCAGCGATAAATTGTGGTTATAGATGGGGCTTCATCACCAAATGCAGAAATCATCCGGTCAACACACTGTTTTTGTGTTAAACCACTTCGAAAGTCATAATAAATCATCGCTCTTGAATTTTCTCGAGTCAATTCCATTTTCTCAACGACTAAACAAGTGACAAAACCTTGTGACAAGACCGAGAATCTTTTTTTAAATAAATAAATGGTATTCGATTTTTAAAACTAAGGATATGACAGGAACAGTGGAAATATTCCATTCCCGATACTTTTAGTGCATCCTGTATATTTTATCAAGATGGTCAGTCAGCAGGAGATTGTCGATTTTAGGATTATTATTGAAGGATGCAATATGGGAAGGCAAGACATTATTACAGCAATAAGGCTTCGTTCCGGACATATACCATTAAACAAATTTGCGTTTGTAATGAGAAAAGTGAATTCACTAAATTGTAACAAATGTGGAGTTGTGGAAGATGTTATTCACATTATGATGGAATGTGAACGGAACGAAGCATATAGAAAGCAATTAGGTTTTGACAAAAATAGTGTTGGACTATATAATAGTATCCTAGCTTTTCCATTGTCGGATAAAGCTAGAAAACTTTAAAAAACTTGTATTATAGGTATTAAGAACAGGTAATCTTTTGTTTACGTGAATATATCATTGTCTGATTATGTGTTTGATTGTGTACCTATGAGGGTGACTTGATCTAGTAGATCTAACCCTCTATAATAAATAAAGATTAAAAAAGGATTATTATTATTTTATAATGAAACTGAAATGTTATGTGTAGTAGAACCATGCTGCAGTTATATTAGAAGTATAGTTGTAGCACGAATGGGTCGGCTCGACCTTAATTAACTATATATTGTATAATGACATGATAATGGATGCACGAATATGGCTAAAACACGTTTATTATCATAAGTACTACTAAACTAATATTATAAGTGGTAATTTGTTATCCTTCGAAGACTATACGATGTCTGCATCACATTTCCTGTGCCTTCTACTAAGAGATAGTGTCAGCGCCAGCGTTTTTTGAAAGATCCATTTTGAATAAAAAAGCATCACACCATCTTGATTGATCACTATGCTGCACTGCGCGGTAAGTGAATTCGCAAGTGCTGAGCTTATTCATCGGCATGCACTTGTTATGCTTAGTGCTTATCACTACACTACTAGTCTGTAGAATTAAAGTTGGACATATTTCTAAAGGGTTTCCGTCAGATTAGCAAAGTCAGCAGGGTATTCAATTACAATTTCAATTGACATTTTGAAAAAATTTAAACATTACCCTTGAAAGTAAATAGTAAAGTTGCAGCGTATATTAATCTAACAGCAGCAAGCAGGACATACCTATCAACCTACTTTTAGTTGAGTTACTTCTTTTATGCACGTTATTCGCTATTTATGTTTTTAACTTCAACTTTTATTATCTACTTATTTACTGTGTCAAGCGACAGTAACCATACGGTTAAAGGTACGAATTGCAAACTTTAATAGCCGTGGCTTCTCCTATCACGAGTGTTAAGCTCACTTGCATTTCTTAACGGGAATAACAGTAATGTTTATAGCGTAACAAATATTCTTTAAACAAGCGGTAAAATTAAAAACTTTGTACAACCGACTTCAATATAAATAAAATGGGAATGAGAACATCATCAATGTCGTCGAAGTCAATTAAATACGCAATTATTAAGGATAACACAAAAACTGCCGGTCAGATCTGAATCAAATTTATATGGGACCACACGAGAAGCACCAGGGTTCAAATAAAAAAAGATTCATCAAAATCGGTTTACCTCAAAAAAAAATCTGAGGTAACACAAATAAAAAACCATACAGTCGAACTGTACGGAAGTGAAAGTTGGGTATGGCAGAAGAAACATGAAAGTAGAATAAATGCAGTTGAGATGAGAGCATTAAGAAGTATGATAGGAGTTAAACTGAGTGACAGGATAAGAAATAGTGAGATAAGGAAACGTTGTGGTCTGAAAGAAGATGTGGTGACAAAAATTGAGAAAGGTATGCTGAGATGGTTTGGCCACATCGAGAGAATGAATGAAGAACGATTGACGAAAAAAGTGTATAAGGCGAGTGTGAATGGAAGTGCTGGAAGGGGTAGACCTAGGCGGACTTTTCTAGACCAAATTAGGGACGTCTTGAAAAAAGGCCAGGTTAAGAGTACCCTAAACCGTAGAGCATGTATGAAGGAAATAATGAAAGTAGACGAAGCGAAACAAGTATGTAAGGATCGTAGCAAGTGGAAAGAAGTGGTCTCTGCCTACCCCTACGGGAAAGAGGCGTGATTATATGTATGTACAGTCGAATTGAGTACTTCTTCTTTTATGAAGTCGATTAAAAATTACCGATTTACTATCAAGGTCTTCGACAACCGCAACGAGCTGCTAGAAGAAAACCGGCAGTCTGGCTCGTCTCCTGTCGTCTCCGCGGCGGGGGTTTGCGTCTCGCCTTACCACTACCGGTCACTCTTAGTGGCTCTCTGCGTCCTCTTATCATTGCTGCTGGCAATGTTAACTGCCGCTCTATATATATACAGGCAAGTTATATCAGCTATATAATATGTATTATTTTTGTATGTAAAATACGTACTTAAACACTCACGCCTGTCACCCAGAGGGGCAGGCAGAGACTACAGACTTCCATTTGGCACAATCCTGACACATCTCTCTCGCCTCCTCTACATTCATATACCTACGCATACATCCTCGTCGGTTAAGGTTACTCTTATTTTAGTCAATTTTCAATATATCGCCAATTTGGTCGATAAGCTTACTGGGGTAGAGGATATTCTTACACGCAACTAAGCAGTCAGGTCACTGTTCTATATATTAATTTATTTATTTTAGGAAGACCTACAGACTAATATCTTAGTAAAGTTACAAAATGTTAATAAGAATTGCTAATTACTTTTTTTATAGGATAGGGTGACAAAGGAGCACACAGTCCACCTGATGGTAAGTGGTTGCTGTGGTCCATAGACATCTACATCTATCCTCGTTTGCGAATCAAAATGCAGATGCGTTGTCACCCGTGAGGACTAAGATGGAATGCCTCTTATCCGGTATAAAGGGTCTCCGGTTCTCTACACTCACCATACGAAACGCTTTTACGCTGGTATTCTGTGAGCGCCTGGTCCTTCCCCGGTCGAGCCGACCCATTCGTACTAGAACGCATGACTCTACCACGTAAAAAATTAGTTTGTCGTAGTTGCTTGACCGCCGCAGTTTTTTTTAATTTTCTAGTTGTTATTAGGAACACGCCGCTGTTCATCTATAGGTTTGTTTCCCTCCGTCGCCCAGGTTTACCAAAAGTACTCTTTGCTGTCGCATCTTACGGCGACGACACGACTATTACTGCGGGAGCAAATGTGGTAGAGGATATTCTTACACTGCCACTACGTAGTTGGGTCACTGCTTTATTTATTAATTTATTTATTTTAGGAAGGCGTGCCGACTCTTAGTAAAGTTACAAAATATTAATAAGAATTGCTTGTTATTTATAATGAATTAATGAATTATGATGCGAATATATATAAATTATTTTAATTAATTTCAATTTATTCTCATCATCGCCATTCTGAAATTTTTTTTAACTCTTGTACTGCTTATATTATCACTTTAATTCACTGTGACACCACGAGGCTTGCCGACGTCTTGAAATTGAGTAATTTGAGTATTTCGCCATAAGCAACTATTTTTGCTGGTCTTATCCTAGTTCCTTGCATCTTTTTTTCATTTTTTAAAAAATGTTATACAGCGATTTAAGTATTTCGTCTTGGAGGCATTCTACATACATAAATTGCACATTAGCAAACATCCAGACCTATAAACAATCATAAGTGAGTCATGCTCGTACATATCTTATTCTATGTGAATCTGCGACATTTTGAATACTTAGAAACTGCGTTACCACGAGCCGTAACTATTGTTTATTGTCAGTTATTGCACAACATAAAAAAGGCTTACTCCCTTTATTTTGTGTTTATTGTGTATTGCGATTAACATAAAAACGTTAAGTGGTATTTTTTATCAAGCAGTAATAAAAAAGTAATGACCGGCTCTTTGAATAATAATAACAAAAACTATTGAACTTTATGTTCGTGCATTGTAGCAAGACAAAACTGCCAGCTCATGAGGTACCTTGAGGATCACCAGCTCATTAGTGACTGCCAATACGGTTTTCGCCGCGGTCGGTTAGCTAGTGATCTTCTGGCCTACCTAACTCACAGATGGGCGGAGGCAGTAGAGTCCAAGGGGGTGGCATTGGCCGTTAGTTTGGACATTGCGAAGGCCTTCGATCGGGTTTGGCACAAAGCGCTTCTTTCGAAGCTCCCTTCCTATGGGCTTCCCGAGAAATTGTGCGATTGGATCACCAGCTTTCTTGCAGATTGGAGCCCTCGTTTGCCCCCTCTTCTATAAAAAAAGGAAGGTCGTTTAGCAACGTCATCTGTCTTTCTGAATAAACTTATTAGTATAGCTTAACTTATCTAGGTTAAAAAATAAATTTCTTCTCTTACATCAAATCATAAAAGGCAACTGCTGCTCATTGGCCTCTTTACACTATGGCTACACAGTGTAAAGAAGCCTTTACACTATGGCTACAGTATAATAAATAAAGTACGTATTTATAGACTGTGCTATGGCTATCACAGTACCGGTTATTTCGCACCATTGACACTGCGCCCCGTCGCTGGGCGGGTATTATACGTATACACGTATTATACGCATGGAATAAAAAGATGTTTACTTTACCATCTATCTTCTGATCTTTCTGTAATATCTAATAGTCACCTCTTACGACACCCTTGGGAAGAAATATTAATTTTATATTAATATGATAAAGATGAGACAATTAATGTAATTTCTATTTCAGACGCTACTGGAGAGTTCTGCGCAAAAACATTCAAGCTTCAAGTGCCACTCCGGCTCTGAGGCCAGTGGCTCCTGGACCAAGGCCCACCCGTCCCTCTCTCTTTTCCGCATCTCACCTGCATAAGCCTTTCTCATTAAGGTATAAACTATAAATAATATTTTATAACGCCACTGTTCGACGTTTAAACTTCTTGTTGTATGTTGACCGACAAAGGGGATGTCACGCGCAGATTTTTTTAAATATTCGATCAACACCTACCTACATAAAACCGAATGAGGTTGAGATATTGTGACTTAAAGAACAAGAATCGTACTTAAATAGCTATTTACTACGATCATGGTACATTTTAAGAGATATTTTACAGACATAATTTGCACATTGTCAACATTATAGATAAGGACCCAAAACAAACTCGTTATTGTAGACCAAATACTTGGCCTTGTGGAAATCGACATCGCGGCAGGCATCGCAGCAGCTAGGGTTGCCAGGTCTTAAAACCGAAATGTCAGACAGAGCTTAGCCGGACATTTTGGTAAAAAGGTCGGACAACTTTAATCTTTTAGCTTAGTATAACACATTTTTAAAGTAGAATAACGCATTTTATCATTGACCATAAAATCTTCATAAATCCTAATGAAATAATAAAATTGAAAGAATCACTCTTCTTTATTATTATTCATTCAATATAAAAAATAGTATCCTACAAAAAATATTCACTAATATATTAAATTTTAATAATTGTAATAGTATGTATGTAAGTACATGACAAATGTAAAAAAATAGTAAAATTTAAAAAGACTAACAAAAGCCGGACACCAAATTGGGCTGGACACGCAACCAAAAAGCCTGACTGTGTACAGCTTTATCCGGACGTCTGGCAATGGCTAGCTCCAAGCGTTTAGCTTGAGAGACATGAGTAAATTTCCCTGTAATGCTGACAATGGCGCTGCTAAGCCCAATCTCTACCTGTACTTCGTGCTGGAAATCAGCTAGGCAGACATCCACAATATAATTGATTCAGAAATGTTTGAAATTGAAATACTTATAAAAACATAGGCTGCTCCATAAGAACGTCCGACAGCCCGTATACGGTCATGGTGGTCAGTGGAATTATAGTGCACGAGTGTGGTCTTTTCCCTCACTCATATGACTACGCGTCAAGCAGCCTTCTTCATTGGAGATTGGTGCAGGTGTTCATGTACTGAAGTATAGTTAAGAATAAATTCATCGTGAAATAGAAATTTTCGAAATTTTTTGAAGGTTTCGCCTTTATTGTAGTAGTGACGTGTACCGAAGGACGCGTCTGTGTGTGTAACTGCCATTCGTTCGACTCGAGATCGTGACTGAGCCACAGTATCTATTATTTAATCTGTGACAGAATTAAACTGAGCGCTACCGAGGCCTACGCAGCAACCCACACTAACAAAATGTGTATGTACCTACATGGCTAACCACAACCAAAGGCGAACCTTCATCGTGAAATAGAATAACTAGAGTAAAAAATGTTTGTAAACTTTCTGATAAAATATATTGGGATACCTAAAATAAATTGGTTGTTCCAGTGGACTCGGTCGTACTTTTGCTGAAGTTGGGGAAGAAGCAGGTTCGTCTGGAAGACTTGCGAATGCATTCGACGATGGAAGTGAACCAATTTATACCGATCCTTCGCTTTTCGAGCGCTCGCGTTCCCTGCGCTCTCTACATTCGCTCGATATGAAGCCCGAACGACGCGATCATCATGCTTAAACTAAAAGCTTACAGTAACGCCATCTTAAAATTCTTATCTTTTTCATATCTCTGCGTCTACTTTTAAAATATTCCTTACTGCCAATGTAACTCACTTTCTAATCCGTCCTTTGAATTTTTTATTATACTTTACGACATTCTTTTACTTATGAAATATTTACTATAAGTCAGTACTAATAATAAAGAATGTATGTTCACTGTTGTTTTTTTTTTATAATCCTCCAATGCAGTGTTTATTTGCCGCGTAGTTGTAATGACGTGTTAGCATGTTGTTGTGGCGTATTAGCATGCCGCTAGCTGTTTCGTCCAGTGAGTGTCGTAAGAAGTATACTCGTATAAGTATATGAAAATAACATAGGTATCAGGCACTGTATTATATAAATATAATACAGTGCCTGATTTATAGTTCCAAAAAAGTTTTTGAAGCTAAATATTTTGCAAACGGACCCCTAAATAGAAAGAATGTTGTTCCATACACCCAACATTTTTGAAAGACCTATCTAACGACACCCCACACGATGGAATATACGGGTAAATAAAATCACATGTATCATGGTACCCAAAATAAAAATGTTTTTCGAGATTTAATTGCCAAATTACACGAATTTGTGTAAATGTGGACATGGCGAAATTATAAAGAGTCCTTGTTTAACTACGGAACGCTACAAAGAGCAAAAAACCTTGCGGCACATAAAATTCCCAGACTGCAAGTCTAGCACTATACACACCAATCTGCCTACCATGCGTGGCGATCACAGCAAATCCTCTATATTGTGGCAGACGGTGATTTCCGCGGGTCTTAGAATACACTTAGTATATTATAATTCATATCATACTTAAACAAATAGGTAAGTATATTAAAAATGGGCAATATCAAGCGTACCTTACTTAATTTAAAAATCAATTAAGAAAAAATTAAAATTTATTAACGCATGTCCGACGACATGCGTTAATAAATTAAGGGGAAATATAACCTCAAATGGCTTAGCAAGATCCTCCGTTATGCCGAAAGTATTGCAGCATTAATTTTGAAATAAATATATGGTAAAGTTGAGGATTAATGTTAAGGTTTATGTTAGACGAAAACACGATTCCGTAAAATTTTCTCGATAGAAAAAAAAATCCAAAGTTACCTCCAAACTAAACAATAAACCGCTGTTATTCATAAAATACTTTAAATAAGATCATGAAACTTTGCATACTAACTGAACTAACCATAAAGCAGTGCTTATGTTATTTACTTTTTTTAAAATATCATTATTTTCACTGTAAAAAAGAAATTACCTAAACTATCGGAGCGTAAGCTTGGTTCCTGATTCCTGTCGCTCCATTAGCCGTAGGAATGTCGATCTTAAATCGATTAATCGAAAAATCGATTCTTTGGCGTAAAATAATCGATCTTTTAGATCGATTCCGAGCACCGCATCGATTCACTGAATCGATCCAAAAACCACTCGAATCGGACTGATACATCTGATTCAAGAACTAGCGATAAAATTCCCAAACTGGCTGGGTCAGATACCGCAGTTTTTTAATTTTTTGCTGTTGGGGACGCAAAAACAACCGGTCATACTTGGTTGATAATTTGAACTCAATATATATTTGAATAAAATAAATATTTATGAACGCATCCAACAATATCGAAAAGTTGTCATTTCATTTTCATTTCTAAAATTCTAATTCTAATCTTACCTGTGGAATGTTGGTCTAACTTAATCTGTGCTGTGAACAAAGACTACATATACATATTACAATATATTATAGCTGTGAACCTGTTTGTACTGTGAACTTGTGAATTTACTTTATTTATTATCAAAAACATACATACTGTGAGCTGTAAGTACAGACAGAATACTTTTTAAATACCTATATACTGTAAATAAATATCATATGTTGAAGTTTATAGAGGTTTATAGTAAGGAAATAACCAGTATTGTGTTCGTGTAGCATTCACTTCAATTTGATAAATAGTGAGTTATTAGATTGAAACAGATTTATCAAGAAATGTACGTTGCAATTTGAACTTTTGTTAAAGTATTGTTGTTGTTTCTAGCCTAAAATGTCAAATGAAAGTGATACATGGAATCACTTTGTAAAAAAAGGATCGAGTGGCTTATGTGCAAACCACTACTAACACAAGCGTTTCAAGCTTACCAGGAGTGGTTAAAAGGAATGTTAATAATGTTAATTATTAAAATTACTGATATTTTATTTAAAAAAATATTAAAGTTCAATTAAAGAAAAAATCGCAAATTCTTGAAATTTCAAGTTTAAAAATGTCGCGATTAATCGAAAATCGATCTTTTAATCCTCGATTTAATCGATAATCGATTCTAGTGTTTTCGATTCAAATCGATTCAGAGATCGATTTTTTTAAGAGTGAATCGACATGCCTAATTAGCCGTTAGTATTGCTCCGGCTTTTGAAGGGAGAAGTTGTGTCGCTTACGATCAGAAAACACATTACGCAACAGGAAGACGTAAAATTAAAATGGGAAATAACCGTTATAAAAATAAGAAGCGACTGGGTTGGCGTTAAGAAACAGGCATATATATGATAAACATAATGAAATAAGTATCTAACGACCTATCTACTTAGAGTATTAGTGATTACAAACATGTCGGTACATAGCATACGACGCGCGGGGAAGTGGGGGCGAAATTAGAATTTGAGCTGACTTACTCTCACCTCTTAATGGATAGAAATAAATAGAGATGCAACAAGCGAGAATAATGGCAGGATCGTACTAAACTAAACAGAATTCGGTAGTCTATCAGTGTATAAAGGCACTGCGCAATAGTCTCTGCCTACTTTATTCGGCAGGCGGAAAAGTTCATATAAGTACGCATTTACCGTGAAACACGCTAACTTTGTTCGTTTTTTCTATAAAATTTAATTTATTGTAATATTTTATGGGGACATTAGTATATTTTATTACCTATAACTTTCTGATCGTGTGCACGTAGGTATTTTTTATTTTGTTAAATTTAGTGTAAGTTAAAATTTAAACCAACATTTGATCGATTTTGAAGACGGGCAAAATTATCTGAACTTTTTGCCAACATTGTTCTTTTATGCAAATACAGTTCGTGATAGACTTGCAATAAGCATCACTACCTAGATATGAGAAATCTTGGCGTTGATTTCAAAACTTTATTAGTAGTGTTAAAACATTTACAGAAAAATGAGTAGACAATGTGAACTAGCTATTTTCGCACTTTTCCATACAAACCGCATCGAGAGATTTAAAACTGTTAGGGTTGTCACATTCGAGTAAATGTCAACCACCATACTAAATTTCTATTGAGGGCATTGAGTATTAAAAAAATCGTACTCAAAATTAATTGTTTATTTAAGTTTTGTTCTCTCTTATTTCTAAATTTTATATACAACACTGAGATCAATAAAGATTTATTTAGGTAATAAAATCAAAAGTTAAATTAGTCAAGAAGTAAATTAGGCAACTTAAAGGCAGCTGAAGGCCTACTGTAATAAAAATCAAAATACTTTTAAATTATCGTTGAGACAGTGAATTCTGGGTAATCTTTCAATGTTCTACTTAAATTTAGAAAATAGTTAGCAATTTTTGTTTGTCTTTTTTGTGTATTATTTGTATGTTCTTGTTGACCCTTTTTGGCTCTTGCTTTACAAATATTTCATGAAGTTCTTATGTTTAGTTCATCACTATGTCTAGCATTCTATCTTGAACAAATGTTTTAAAGAATTTTTAAATATTCTTGAACAATAGCTTGAGATCTAGCGTAGCTAGTGGAGAGCCAAAATCATTAGAAGTTTGCTTACGTGAATTTTATGGGGATTGGCGAATTATTTTCCAATTTAACAGGACTACATACTTAATAATTAGCTAATTACGCTGCGTTATCGCGAAATCATGATTTAGAACTTTGGTCGAGTTCAAAAATAGTCGGCCAATCATGATAAAATGCTTTTATAAGTACACCCGAACTGGAATATCACCCTCGAAAGTTATTAATTTATAGAAAAATTTATGTCAGTACACCTGATTACTTCCATAATCAAAAAATTGACATTTACTTCAATTCCTGATAAGTTAAAAAATACGTAAACAAAACAAATAATTTATAATCGAAAAAAAATCAATCTAAAAAAATAAACAAACTAACAACCTTCAGTACTTTTTGATTTTCCACTGAACTAATTTTAATCTTGTAAATACCTATAAAATATTTTCCCTCGATAAAGGATTCGTTTATAAATTGCTTTTTAGGAAAAAATACATTGGTAGGAAAAGTTGTCACATTTCATTTTACTTGTATTTGGTCCTTATAAATATGAAATTAGCGTTTTGTTGTACTGACCAATTCGATCTGAAATATCTCCTCTTTGGTTCAGAATTCCAAATTCAAATTTATAAATTCATTTAGCTGGTACATTTGAGTTTTTAAAACAGTCCGTCATTTGTTTCTTCCTCATTATTTTTTTCTTGGCGTCGCTTATTACCGCACAATGGAAAACATGAAATATCGGTGTATTTACGAGAATGAGTTCTACCGTGGCACCAGTGCTGCAGAAACAGCTCGAAGGATTAATTATGTGTACGGCGCTGGTGTCGCAAAAGAAAGCACGGTACGTTTTTAGTTTCAACGTTTTCGTTCTGGAAATTTTGACCTTCAGAACCAACCCCGTAGACGGCCGGAGACCAAAGTGGAAAATGAAGAATTATAGGCTATTATGGAAGCGTATCCATCACAAAGTACTTCAGAGATAGCCGCAGGCTTCGGGGTAAGTGATAAAACTGTATTAATCCACTTGAAGTAAATCGGGAGATTAAAAAAACTTGAACGATGGGTACCTCGTGAATTGAGTGAATCGAACTTGCAAACACGCGTCGGCTGCTGTGTTACTTTGCTCAAACGACACAAAAATGAAGGGATTTTAAATCGAATCATTACTTGTGATGAAAAGTGGATACTGTACGATAATCGGAAGTGCTCGTCGCAATGGCTGAAACCTGGAAA